CGACTATCTCCCATTCTGAGCCACTCAGGTGGGAGTAGCCTTCATGTGTGACGTGAGAGCTGTCGTCTTCTACGTCCAACATGTTTATGTTAAACGGACACTAAGCAGTCGTTGGACGTATTACTAAGTGCTACCAGGAGTAACGGGACACCCTTTTTGGGGTGCCGCGAAACTTCACGTACACTAATACGTGCAGAGGAAGCTAAACTACTTGAACGACTCGATCAAGTAAGGTAAAAGGAGAACTGTGTTTAATACAGTTTAGCTATTAAAATAGCTTCAGTCTTTATCTAGCTATAATAATTTACATTTACGCATGACGACAACCTACTCACCACTCATTACGCGCAACCAGCAGTGATTGGTGGTAACCTTGTTTGATATGTCTTATATCAACCAATCTTGGAGCAGCGCATGAATTTTATCAAAGGAGGATAATGTTCCTTCAAAATTATCTATCTCGGATAATGTTGGTAGGGAATTTTCACGCTATACAATATTCCTATTGAGACCGTTTGGTGTCAAAATCATGTAACGGGCTACCCCGTTACAAGCTAAATGTAATCTACCAACCAAAAACTGGAAAATCGCCGGTGTCTTCTTCAATTTGCGCAATTCTTTCTCTTTTCGACCTCTGCCGCTCCGCGTTCTGACGGATCCGCACTGGACACTTGGCAAAAAAATTCTTCCTCGCCACAGCAGTGACATGCACTGACCTTCTGCATAATCCATTGTCCTTTCGCTTGCTGTAGTTACTTGCGATAGACGTTTAACTATGATCATGCACTGCTCCGTCGACTCCGTTACCTTGTTACTTGTGCTTCATATCATCATGATCCGTCGACGCCGCTACCTTGTAACTTGTGATTCGCATCATAACGACAGCGATTTGACACGCAACTCCAACGCCGTGATCAGGGACTGGTATGACTCGCTTAGGCTTCTGAAGAGCGCGATTACCAAGTCGTCTTCTCTGACCGGAGTAGCAACCACATCGAGCAGCTCTGCCAACATCTTGAATATGTTGATGTACTCCGGTACATCATTCCGCTTATCAATCATGGTCTTTGAGAAGCGTCAAAGTACAAAGCGTTCTTTCGCTAGACTCTTCTTCGCGTAGTGTCCGTTCAGTCATGACCATGCATCGTACGCGCCAATCATCGAATAAACCAGTAGCTGCTATAAATATTCTATGGCAAGACAGATGATCGTCGGTACCTTGCACGAATTCAACTTGAACGTCTTTTGATGCATCGTATTCGTGCAGTGATCCATCCTGAACTTTCTGCTTGTAATCTCCTACATGTTGCGCTTTATAGGCACCATCTGCATCTCATTCTTCGATGTGTGGAAGTTAGTCCCTTGGAGCTTAAAAATGCGGGTGGTCGGGGTTGAGGCGACGTTCATGGCAAAGGCAAAGGCGCAGTCGGAGTCTCCGCTTGAGGGAACGGGGCTTCGGTCCATAATGTAAAGGCAAAAGCAATTGTACACTTGATGGTAAAATGCAAAGTGAATGTTTTTAATCCTTAGATGGCAATATATTTTGCAGTCTAAGCCTGCTGGATGATATAGCTGCAAATTCGTAATCGCTATATCGTGCATTAGTAATCGTACAGTCGTGCATAAGTAATAGCATTATCGCGCATTAGTAATTGTTGTCACAGATGCGACTCGGCATGAATATTCGCACAAGAACTTGTAGATCAAGTAGTATGCTAAGGCAGCACCGTGCGAGAGGTCACTGGTTCGATATTCAGTGACTACAAGTATAAGTTTAATTTTTCGTGTACAGGTGTACCGGGGTTGACCAGCACGGTCCTTCCTGACAGTGACGTCTCCCATGCTAGTAAGTTTTGGTGTTTGCTAGAAACACACTATCTGAGTTAGAAACGTACGACGGGACGATTAGTAATGCGTGACGAGAAGATTACTGACGTAGAGTCAAAAATAATTCAGTAGGATCAGAGTAGCAACAGGAGATTGTGAACCAAGGGCCAAAATACATTCACTGTGTATTTTGCCAAACTTCGATCACTTCCTTTAGGCTGTGAGCTCAGCTTCGTAGACTCTGACCAAGACCTAGATCATGCCTTTGCCATGAAATCGTCTCCGTTTATCGCCGCTTGCATCAACAGGTTCTCGGGGACAAACTTCTACGTGTGGAAGTTTAAGATGTAAATGATGACAGAAGAGCGAGAACTGTGGGACGTCGTGAGCAGCGAGGTCAAGCTTGAACACTGTACAAGTACTTTGGACCAGGCGACATTCAAGCGAGAGTCGCGGAAGGCGCTAGTGATAATCTGCATTGCGGATTCTCAGCTGCCACTGGTTCGCTCGGCGAAGGACGCACATGATGTCTGGTCATGTCAGGAAGGACACTACAAGATGAAGTCCTTGGCTGATACGCTTTTCTTTCGTCGCCAGTTTTTCAAGACAATGATGGTAATGACGTGCTGGATCACATCAACAAACTCAAGACTCTGGCGGAGCAACTGAACTCAGTTGGTGCTCCGGTCAAAGGGGACAATTTGGAATTAAACTTCTGGCCAGCCTTAGCGACTCGCACCAGTTCCTAGTAACAGCATTGGAGTCGAGAGCCGACTCGCTGTCGTGGGAACTAGTGACGTCTTGGGTATTGCATGAAGACATGAAGCACATGGAGCAAGGTGGGGGAATTGAAGGAGCTGCGCACGGTCAAGCTCAAGCATTCATGTCAAAAAACAACAAATGAAAGGCTCCACCGGCTACTAAGACCGGTGCGTGCCACAATTGTGGCAAGCAAGGACATTGGATTGCGGAGAGTTCCTCATGCATCCAGGAAGGCGCTGAACGACACAAGTACCAGCGTGCAAACATCACGCAAGAACCGGATCTTGGCAATTATCTTTTTTGGTTGGAAGATATATGACAAGTCAAGTCACATATGGCTGGTCGACTCAGGGGCGACGCAGCACATGACAAGTTCGAAAGAGTTCATGAAGAATTGCGATGGCTTCAGACCAGTAGACGTGCACCTTGCTGATGACTGTGTTGTACAAGCGATCGGAAAAGGTGACATTGTCATGTCAATGATGACTTGTCAAGGGGTCAAGAAGGGTGAGATCAAAAATGCGTGGCGTATCCCACATTATGTCAAACTTATTGTCCGTTGGAAGATTATTTTAATGGCGTTGGACCTGTCACCTTTGAAGTCATGGTTGCTTCGCTAAAACGAAGAGGATCAAGTGGAAACTCGGCGCTTTCAAAGGAAAGGAATTATTCAAGCTTTGCATGACACCGGTGCTTCCTGACGAGATCAATGTGGCAAGTCCAATAAACTTCAAGGAGACAGCACTTTCTACCTTTGGCATCTTCAATTTGGCCACATTTGTCATGGCAGTCCAGATGCCATTGACAAGAAAGATTAAGGCAGCGAAATCGGCATGAAGTCGGTTCAGAAGTGGGGGTTTTGTGAACGATGATTTTGACAAGCAGACACGTGTGAGCTGTATGCCCAGGTCACCCGACCGAGCAAGTATGGTGCCGGAGGTTATTCACATCGATGTGTGTGGCCCCCCAGAAAAATCCTACCTGCAGTGGAAAACGGTACCTTGTAACTTTTATTGACGTATACTCGCACTACTGTGGGGTGTAGCTGCTTCAAAACAAGTCTGAAGTAGCGACCAAGTTCGTTCAAATTGTTGCGTTGGCGGAAACCCAAATTGGCAAGCGTGTGTAGACGCTTCAAAGCGATATTGGTGGCGAGTACGCTTCCAGTACAATGTCCGAGTTCCGTGCGGACCATGGTATCATGCAGAAATTACTCCACCTTACCCTTCTCAACTGAAAGGTGTTGCCGAGCGGATAAATCGGACATTAGTGGTAAGCGCTCGTTGTACGATGGAACGTGCCGAGTTATCCAAGTCGTATTGGGTGAGGCAGTCATGACTGCGAACTTTCTACGTTTTTGCTGTCCAACTCGTTCAACAAGTCACGACAAGTCACCCTACGAAGTATGGAGTGGTATAAAACATATACTTGCAAACATGAAGGTGTTCGGACGTCATGCATGCGTTCATGTTCCCAAGCCAAAGCGGTCCAAGTTCGGTGCAAGATCGATATAGTTTCGGTTCATTGGATACTACGACCATGAAAAATCGTACTGGTTCGAGGAGATCATGAGTCTTCGTGTACTGGTCTGTCGCGACGCGCAAATCATAGAGAATGATTTCGACAGTGGGAGACGCGACTATGTGCAACATTAAGCCGTCGTCGAAGACGAAGCTTAAATGGAATGTGAGGATATACCTATGGAGAATTACTCCTCTCATGACACAAACAGCATGAACTTTGAAGCGGCTACAATGGATGGCTTTGATGAACCCGCCGGTAAGAGACAACAATGCACACAGTCGCTGGAGGCCTTGGATAACGCTCCTGAGCCGAATAGTCGAGCTCGATAAATTACCTTAACAAAGATGTCTGCGACGGCTGACACCATCCACTCTGTAGAGGCTGCCTACGTATTATATTCAGTGGGAGATTTACCAAAGACAACCAATTCAGCAATGGAATCCAGCGACTCAGTCAAGTGTGAAGAGGCTTGTGACACCAAAATTAATTCCCTTCGTTACAATGCGACCTGAGATCTCGTGCCGCTTCCACAGGGACGCAAGGCAATCGGTAAACGATGGGTTTTTCGGGCAAAGGAGACCAAGGATGGAAGAACCAGGCGGTTTAAAGCGCGTTTGGTGGCCAAAAGTTTCTTACAGAAACATGGCATTGACTATGACGAGACCCTCGCTCCTGTGGCTAAGTTTACATCCATCAGAATTTTATTTATCTTAGCGGCAAAGTACTCTCTTACGATTTACCAGATATTTGTCAAGAAAGCATTTCTAAATGGACACCTTTAGGAAGACATTTACATGGCGCAGCTGGATGGGTATGTTTATGAAGATCATCCGGATTTTGTTTGCTGAATAAGGCGCTCTTTGTATGGTCTGAAGCAATTCCCACAGATGTGGAACCATGCCATTGACAAGTTTATGCTGGATGTGAAGTTTCAGAAGTGTAAGATTGACCATTGCGTTTATGTCAAGCAAGATCACGAAGACGTGATTTTTGTAGCGCTGTACATTGACGATTTAGGCCTCGCAAGCAACAATGCCGAACTGATAAAAACCACAAAGGATGCGCTAAGTGAGCGCTTTGACTTGACGGACCTTGGCGATCTCAAGTTCTTCCTAGGAATGGAATTTAATAAAGAATGAACCGCACGGCTACTCGGATGCAAACTGGACCGGAGACGTGAAAGCTCGACGAAGCACACATGGGTACACGTTCATATTGAACAACGGGTGTGTAAGCTGGAGAAGCAAGAAACAGAGCACTGTAGATCTATCATCTACGGATGAGAAGTACATGGCTTTGACGGAAGCTGCGTAAAAAGAAATCTGGCTGGAGGTACTCTTATGTGAGCTCGGCGAGATGAGGAACGATCAAGCAGTCAAGATTACGAAGACAATTAAGGGCCCAACGCTTTGGCCAAGAATCCTGAATTTCACAAATGCACAAAACACATTGACATTCGGCGTCACTTTGTGCGCGAAAAAGTGGCTGAAGAACATTGGTGTTATAATACTGCTCGACCAAGAACATGAAAGCCGACCTGATGACCAAGCCAATTCCCGCAGTCCAGTTTCAACGTCTACGGAACATACTGGGTTTCGAGGTGCTAAGCTCTTTTGAGGCGAATGGGAGTGTCGTTACACATGTGACTCGGCATGATTATTCGCACAAGAACTTGTAGATCAAGTAGTATGCTAAGGCAGCACCGTGCGAGAGGTCACTGGTTCGATATTCAGTGACTACAAGTATAAGTTTAATTTTTCGTGTACAGGTGTACCGGGGTTGACCAGCACGGTCCTTCCTGACAGCGACGTTTCCCATGCTAGTAAGTTTTGGTGTTTACTAGAAACACACTATCTGAGTTAGAAACGTACGACGGGACGATTAGTAATGCGTGACGAGACGATTACTGACGTAGAGTCAAAAATAATTCAGTAGGATCAGAGTAGCAACAGGAGATTGTGAACCAAGGGCCAAAATACATTCACTGTGCATTTTGCCAAACTTCGATCACTTCCTTTTGGAATCGCGTGCCATTTATTACGAATCGTACATTCGCGCATTAGTAATCATCTGAACGTACCGTTCGGTTACCACTTCCTGACTGAGGCGTTTCTATAACAACGATTCGTTGATATCTGTCACTTTTCAATGTATCTAGTGATCCGCAATCCTAACACATAGCGGAAAATGTTGCGATGGATACCAAAGACCCAGTTCAAGTTCACGCACCAAACAACCGAGAAAATTATCTTGTAAGTTGGACATGTACATTGAAACAGACGTCAACACTGGATTGGTTGACATCACTGAAGGTCACAAGCGGCCGACTCCCACCGCATGTAGATTTACAGTGAAAATGTAACGGGGTAAATCGTTACATAACAATTTATAAGAAATTGTTAATAGAATATAACTATAAGAGTTATATTATCAGAATATTATCATAAGGACAAATATTCTGTAGCACTTACGAGTGGTTCCTAATTGGTTGATATAGGCCATTATATCAACCAACGAAGACGCGCCACGACAGACGCACGCAATAAGTGGTGAGCAGATAACTAATTTACACATTTGTATTTAGACATAGTTAGATGAGGATAAATAGTGATTTGTTAACAGAAATTAACTATGATAAATACGGTTCTACTTTTTACTTTAACCAAGTACTCGCTTCTCCTTACCGTCTTCCTCTGCACGTACCAGTGTGCGTGAAGTTCCGAGGCACCGCCTTATTCTGTCGTCAGAATAAGTAGCTTGTACTGTCATCAGTACAAGCTTCAGGGTGCCCCGTTACACCTGGTAGGACTTTGTAGTCCGTCCAAGGACCACGTTCACATCTAACATGAATATGATAGATGATGAAGATGACCAAAGTTTTTACGCTACGCGTGACAACTACTCCCACTTGAGCGATGTGGAATGGGGTGCGGTTGAACGAATGGGCTCAACCATGGGCATCCATGCTGTTAGCGTCATGCTAGAGGCTCTCAATAGAGATGTCCAACATGCTACTATCGCCAAGTTCATTCACAATGAACTTGACGCCAAACGCGAGAAAGTAGCCTTGCTTCACCAACAAGGTTCTCAACAAGCAGAGTTGTTGAGAGAACAGGGTGCTCAACAGTTTGAACTGTTGAGACAGCAGCAGGCTGCTGCTGTTGGGTCGATGCACTCGCGTCGACCCGAAACCTTGAAGATTGATATCTCCAAGTATAGGGGAGTCGAAGAAGACTCCCTCTTGAGATGGTTCGTCGAATTGGATGACGCCATAAGGGCGCGTCGCATCGACGACGGGGAAATGCAAGTTGCATATGCCCAATCCAATATGGCAGGACGTGCCAAGAATTGGGCTTTGTGACTCAAGTTGCACGACCCATATGCGTTCGGGTCGTTGGAAGTCTTCAAGTCGCGGCTCAGACAAACGTTTGAACCGCCTAGAGCTGAGTTCACAGCTCGAACCGAACTCTTGAAGCTCAAGCAGGGTAAGCGTGATATGCACGCTTACGCACAACATATACTACATCTCACGAGTTGTATAAATTCCAATCCGGTGGATGAACACACGTTGGTTTCGGTGTTCATGCAGGGTCTCGCGGATGGTCCCGTCACGACTCACCTGTTCCGACTTGAACTAGATTCACTAGAACAAGCCATTTTCATTGCAGAACAGGAAGACTTCAGTCTGAGACAGGCTCGCGCCAGCTCGACATCAAATCGTCAACCGAGACGATATGACAGCGGAGGTCCAGAGCCGATGGAACTCTGTTATGTAGAGAGCGAGAAGGCTCTCTCTACAGACTACAAGAAGTTGCAGAAATGCAACAGATGTCAAAAGACAGCACACTAAGCTTACGAGTGTAATGCCCCTCTTCCAGTGTCTCGCAACACTGGGCGTAATGACCATCCACCCATGAGAAAAAAGCAGGGACGCGGGTCCGCTGTTGGTGCAGAGACGCAACAATGGGATGGACCGTAAAAAGCGGACAGGATCAGTAGGTGCGGAGCAACCCACTGGTCCAGCAACGTCAAGAGAATTTGTAGGCCTCTTGATGAAGGTTGTTCCCAACACACAAACATAGTGCGTTGCTGCTCTAGGTAATGAGATCTCACTCATTACCTTGAAACTCGAAGAGACAAATAAGTTGTCCCTTCGAGCTCTAGTCGATTGTGGGGCGTCCAACAATTTTGTGCAACGCCAATCGCTAGAAGATGGTCACTTTAAATTCAGTGAATGTGACACACCTCCTATGAGGATGACGGTACGTCTTGCGGCAGGCGTATCCGTAACCGTCATGAAGCGTATAGTGAAGATCCACTATACGCTAGAAGATACCCAATATGATGATGACTTTGTCGTGTTGGATTTGGATGACAAATTTGATGTCATCCTTGGAATACCGTGGCTCAGAAGGTACGAACCACGGGTAAACTGGCAACATCAAACAGTAACGATGCCTGCCGCTTTTTCATCAGATGGCCATCTCATGAACGTTTTGGAGCGTCCACAAGCGTGTGGATGTACTACGAGTGAGTGCGATGGCCTCACTTGTGGTACGGTCGTTAGTACGACTGCACAAAACCTTAGTGTAACAAACGATTACACTTCGGAGCACAGATCCGGCGGCTGTGAGGAAACACAGGCTGCGCCGAAGGTCCACCACTCGAATAAGTCGAGTGGACCGGAACAGTATGATCCCTAGCGGGGAACATCTAGAAGAGAAACAATTAATCGCTCAGGTTAAGCGAAACGATAATCCTAGATCGACTGGATAGTCTTTCGTAGAGGATCTCGCTGTGGTTGCGCAACCCCAGCTAGAGGAAGTTAAGGGAATAAGTCCCGATATTGCAAATACGGCGGAAATAAGTTCCCCGAAACCCGAGGGAATAAGTCCCCGGGAAGCCGAAGATATAAGTAATTCGAGGCCTGAGGGGATAAGTCCCCAGGAAATGACAGAGACATTGAATGTCCTAGTCAATGATGGATCAAGTGTAGGCGCTTATACACTTGATCTGATTGCGTCTCCGAAGTTGACTTCGGAGATCACTCAGTTGCCAACGCTCGAACATAAAAGGTTCTTGCGTGATCTGCGTAATAGCAAAGTCGAGCAGATCTGCGTACTCGTCGCTGACGACGAGTGTGTAGCCTACATAAGGTCAGCAACAATGTTTACTGAGAACGAGAGAGTTCTCAGTAGTTCATCTATGGACGAGAGTGTCCTAGATGAAAAAACACGAACTGAGCGATATGACTCCCAATCGAGGGAATCGCTCAAGACAAATCCTCTCTATGAGGATTTGTTTGAATTCAAGGATGTATTCCCTGAAACTGTTCCGTGCGAATTACCGAAGAATAAAGGTACTCGACACGAGGTCGAGCTTAAACCAGGCTCGAAGTACTGTGTCACGAAGCAGTGACCACTGCCTTGTGAACAAGTACTTGCGATCGACAAGTTCTTTGCCGATCGTTTAGCTGCGGCCATGTGAGGGAATCAACTTCCCCACATAGCGCTCCGAACTTCTGTGTGCGAAAAGCAACAGGAGGGTGGCGGATTGTGCATGCTTTAACAAGTTAAATGCTGCAACGGTACCGGCTCAGACGCCGATACCAAGGAAGGACGTAATCACTGGTGGTATGTCAAAGAGTATTAGGTTGTCATTCTTTGCAGAATACAACTTTACGGTAGAGTGTAAACCAGGACGACTTAATGTCGTCGCTGATGCACTCTCACGTCGTCCCGACTTTAAACCAGTCGTGAAACCCAACAGTGAGACAGCCACTGTTGCGATTATGACGTCCTCAGTACCATCTTCAACGTTGCATGATGATGTGAGGCGGGCATACGCCCAAGATGGTGAGATTGTGAAGCTGATGACACATCTCGCACAGCCATCTCGAGAATCGTTGAAACGATTATCGTCTGCGTATCGATCTGCATCAGATCGATACACTACTCGCAACGGGTAACTGTATTATACAGCCGTTTCTGATGACACACCACGTGTTGTCATTACAGATGATACTGATCTGCGTTTGCGAATCATGTTCGAGTACCACGATGCTCCTATAGGAGGACATCGTGGCCGAGAGAAAACATATCTCACGGTAAGTCGAGACTTTTACTGGCCTCGCCAGTATCAGTTCGTGCGAAAGTATGTTCGCGCATGCAAAGTCTGTCAATGAGTGAAGTCAAGTCCTTCACTGCGTGCACCTTTACAGCCTCTTCCAGTTCCGGCAGAGTGCTGGGAATCCATCTCAATGGATTTCATCTTCTCGTTACCCGAAGACGCACGCGAGAATACGGTTATTCTCGTATTTGTTGACGGATTCAGCAAAGTGGTACATCTTGTGGCTGTGCCCGAGTCAATCACGGCAAGTGGCTGTGCTTGTGTCTTATTGACACCATCTTCCGACTTTATGGTTTGCCCCGTGAACTCGTATCAGACAGAGATCCACGCTTTACTGTTGATTTCTGGCGTTCCGTGTTCAAATCACTCGGAACGCGCTTGAAGATGTCGACATCTGATCATCCAGAGCCAGATGGTCAGACGGAACGTGCCAATCGTGTCCTCGAAGAGATACTTCGAAGATACGTACACTCTTTTAAGAGTTGGAGTGAGTCTTGCCAACGATAGCGTTTGCCATTAACAACTCGGTGCATGCGTCCACGACACATACACCGTTTTACGTGAATGGCTTATGCCATCCGCGTGTACCCACCTTACTAGAGTGTAACTCTGGTTTAAGGGGGGGAGGGACTCGCGCGAGCAAAAAACGATTTGTCTCACGCTCATCACGCTCTGACGAAGAGGTCATTGCGTTTGATGCCGATATCGACAATATCGATGTCGAAGAAGATGATGCCAGTGAGAGTGCGGAAGCCCTCACTGAAAAAACGATTGATGTTGCTGCAGTGCGCTCACAGCGCACTGAAGCTAACGAGTCATCAGATGAGTTCATACTGGCCCGTGAAATGTTCGTCCGTTTTGTGCAAGACTCCATCGCCGAAGCGGTGGATAAGCAAACTCAAAACGCTGACAAGAAAGGGAGGCAAACAATCTTTTATTTAATAAAGGGAACTTAGTCCTACTGTTCACGGTTAACCTACCAAAGCGTGTAGTGACTGACTTGGGTAGTAGTAAACTTCTACCCAAGTACATCGGCTCCATTTTGTGCATTGCATCGCCTAGGCAATGCATACACGATCGAGTTACCACGTAAGATGCGAACGCATCCCACGTTTTACGTTGGTCGGCTTAAGCCGTACCATCAGTACGCTGCTTTTTCCGATGAAGAACGCCCTTGCGCTGAAGCATCTCACAGAGCGCCTTATGCTTCCGATGGTGGCCATCGACAAGGGTCTGAAGAGCAGTTATCTCAGCCCGAGACTGGTCAACATCCCCACGAGCTACCCTTAGCTCGTCACGCAGAGACGTCAAATCTCTCTCGTTCTCAAGCTGAGCTAATGCAAACTCAGCTCGATGCTTCAAGACAGTGTCCGCCAGTTGGAGACGCCTGTCCCGCTCATGTTCGAGATCGCCGCGTAACACTTTCGTTACGCGATCAAAAAAGCTCTCGGGAACACACGGATTCCCACGATCGTGTGGAGAGCGTTTTTCCTCCTCCTCCACCTCCATTAGAGGACTCTCGCGGTGGCCAGCGCTATCTAGTTGAGCAGCTGTTGAACCACCGCGACGTGAACGGACGTCGGACGAGTTATCTCGTCCGGTGGCGCGGCTATCCCCCGTCCTGGGATACTTGGGATCCTCGCTCCCAACTGATGATTGACGTACTGGGTCTGGTTGAGCAGTACGACGCGGCACATCCTGTGCCGCAGAAGGACCGCCGGAGAAAGTCTTTCCGGCACGGTCGTAAAGGGATTTCAGGTTGTCAATCCCTTCGTACATCTCAGTAGAGATACGTACGCGCCACCACGGGCTAGTAAGGAGGTAAGCCTCCTTAGGTGCTCGTGCAGAGTTGTTCACACAACATGGGCACGAGTCTCCCCAAGAGATGCAGGGTAATCCGTTCTCCCTTGACAGACGATGCAGCTTGTAGCGTGCACCTGTCGGGGTTCGCTTTTTAAACTTATCACGAGCTTTGATAAGTTTGTCGTTCCAAGCGTCACGACCTACATCCTCAAGGTTATGGATGTAGGCGTTCCACGCTTGAAGTATCGAGGGACCATCACGTTTGTGATTCCCACTGTACCATCGATGTTTAAAGAAAGCATCGATTAAGGAATCATTCTCAGCGCGATAGTTTTTCGCACTGGGGTCAAGGTGATGGATCCTTGACGAATCGAACAATCGTGTTCGATAACGATCACTCGTCGTCGTCGACAAGTGATCCATGACGGACTTGGAGGCATCCATGCCTTCTTCTCGGGAGCGAGACGCAAGACATTGCGGTCCCGCTCTTCCTGCTATGTGCCGGCAGAAGAACTGGCACCTCGTTGCGTAGTGGTGTCCATAGGAGAACCGACAACACTGTGAGCGCCCGCGTCTTGCGACCTCGAGCGCCTTCGCTTCGGAGATGGTTCACCTGATTCATCAGATGAACCAAAGATGCTACGACGCATAGTATCATCCATGCCACGCTTGGCAGGCGGCTTGGTTTCGATCGCCGTCGATACGGACCCCTCTTCCGCATCAGGAGAGTATGAGACACCGAGCTCATACTCTGTGAAGACATGAGTGTCTTCATGACTAGCGCCTGCATCACCAAGTGACACAGGCTGAGTCGCTGCAGCAACCGATGAGACATTAGTTGCTGTGGTTTCTGCTTCGGCGTCCGCACAGAGACGTGCGGACGCGCTCTCGGCGGCCTTGCTCGCGCACCGCATGGGCTTGTTAACCATGCGATGAAATGTTGGAAAGTGGACTCGGACCAACAAGTGCAAACCCTGTCCCAAATGATTTGGGACGAGTATCCATTTAGTCAATCAGTCACTAAAGTGACTGATGGTTAAGGGGGGGGTGATGTAACGGGGTGAATCGTTACATAACAATTTATAAGAAATTGTTTATAGAATATAACTATAAGAGTTATATTCTCAGAATATTATCATAAGGACAAATATTCTGTAGCACTTACGAGTGGTTCCTAATTGGTTGATATAGGCCATTATATCAACCAACGAAGACGCGCCACGACAGACGCACGCAATGAGTGGTGAGCAGATAACTAATTTACACATTTGTATTTAGACATAGTTAGATGAGGATAAATAGTGATTTGTTAACAGAAATTAACTATGATAAATACGGTTCTACTTTTTACTTTAACCAAGTACTCGCTTCTCCTTACCGTCTTCCTCTGCACGTACCAGTGTGCGTGAAGTTCCGAGGCACCGCCTTATTCTGTCGTCAGAATAAGTAGCTTGTACTGTCATCAGTACAAGCTTCAGGGTGCCCCGTTACGAAAAAGGCATCGGCAAAAAAGCGTCAACTCGCCAAGTCACAATAGATAGCACCACTGATTAGCTAGGACTTTCCGGATCGGGTATTGCTGGTCGACAAAGTTCCTCTACGGAACACTCATTTAGCAAAATTGACGTACATGCGTCCGTTTTTCGCTAGCGCTAATCACAAAAGTAGACGGTTCTTGAAGCAGTGCCATTACACACACCGAACGATCAGTGGCTCCCAAGAAAAAGGCTATTGATCAAGTAATTCGAGGATGACTGCTAAGTTACGTTATCGTCAAGACGATAAGCTAAAGAGTTTTCATAAAGACAGGGGCCAAGTAGAAAGGTGCAAACGTCAACTTGCCACACGGTCCGGAGGCTGCATAGTGAGGAAAGCTGCAGTAAGTGGGGATGCACACATTTCAGACCGAGATAGCACACGTCAAGTTTACAGCTTCTACTTTGCTCAACGCGCATTTCAGTCGATTGTGAACTCGTACGAGCACAATTTGAGCATTTTTCACAGACGGCATGCCCAGTCTGCTAACCACTGTTACCGCTCTGACCATACATGCTCGAAGTATTTTGCATGTACAGCATTTCCACCACATGTCACGTGTGACGTTTCGCCATGATGTCTTTAAATCCACCACGACTGTTACGTCTTGCAATACACGGTGGATGAGGCTGTAGGACAATATGCTTGTGGAGTAGGAAGACGATTTGATTCTGTGTATTATTTGCTCTGTGTCCTGTCTGTCTGTCTCCTAGTCACCCTTTCTCCTAAAGGTCTCTGCTCCAACCGTCCCAAAGACAGATGGTTGCTGACCAACTTGTCTACTACCATCTAATACTGACTATATCTGACCAGATTGACGGCTGGCGCTAATCGCAATTTACAATCTTCAACTACAACTTCCAACACTCCTCATCGATTACGCCTCCTTCCTTCCCTCTCTCCATCTTCTTTGTCTTTTCCAGCCTTGAGCGTCCTTGTCCTCGCCCTAGCCGATGCACATGAGCTCGCGCAACGTTCTCAGCTTTGTCGCGTCCAGAGCCTTCGTCATGAGGTCCACCAGCATTTTCTCCGACCGCACGCAGATCGCCACTACGACACCACGACGCGCGAAGTCGCAGAGGAACTTGAGCCGAACGTCCACGCGTTTTGCCTTCAGCGACGACGCCTCGTTGGCGATCTGGCTGATCGCCGCTTGGTTAACAACGTGCAGCTGCATCGGGAGCGCCGGATCGAGTCCCACTTCGCGCAACATCTCGCGCAGTCCGAGCACTTCGTGCGCGACCTCGCTTGCCGTGACGAACTCGGCCTCCATTGTCGACAGAGCGACGCCTCCTTGTTTTCGTGCGCTCCAGCTCACGGCCATGCCGTTCAGGCGCACCACGCCGCCAGTCATTGACTTTCTGTCGGACTTATCGGCAGCGTAGTCTGCGTCGCTAAATGCCTCGAGCCGCATCGTTCCGTCCCCATCATACTCGGGCTTCATGGCGATCTTGAACGCCGCCGTACTTTTGAGGTAACGTGCAACACGTTTGGCCATCTTCCAAACATGCACGCGAGGCGCATGCATCTGACAGGTCGCCTTGTGCACCGCGAAAGCGATGTCCGGGTGCGTGCATCGCGCAACCCACAACAGAGAGCCGACCAGCGATTGGAAGTCGCGCACCGTCGCTCCTGTCTTTGCGCCCGTGGTTCCTAAGAGCGTCGTGTCGTTCGCTTCGATCTCGTAGCAGTCGTCGCCGATCGGCGTTCGTGTCGGGTTGGCATCGACGAGTCCGTTGTCTCTCACGAGGTCGCCAATCGCCTCTTCCTGGTCGAGCTTGTATCCTCCCTCGCTGGCAAGCTGCACGCGCATGCCCAGAAGCTTGCTGAATTGGACCAAGTCCTTTATCGAAAGCGACGCGAGGCTTTTGAAGAGACTCTCCACCGCCGCCGCGCTAGTGCCTGTCGCAAGGAGATCGTCGACATACACGCCGACGACTACTAGATCCGCACCTTCCCGCTTTCAGTAGAAACACAGGTCGCTCTCTCAGCGCACAAAACCGGCATCGACCAGCTTAGCGTGCAGCAGCAGGCTCCCCAGCCTGCCTGCCTGCTTAAGGCCGTACAGGCTCTTGCGGAGCTCGAGCACGAGCTCGCTCGCACTCGTGGCGCCGTGCGTACGAAGCGTCTCCTCCGTAACCTGCATTCCGCGCGGCATCTGGAGGAAGATGCGCAGATGCGCCTCCTTCTCCGCCTTGACGTACGCGTTTGGGATGTCGCTGTGCTTGGCAGGCACCCCCCACGTGGCCGCGAGTGCCAGGATCCCTTGACCGTTGAGAGATCCATCACTGCGGCAAAGGTGAGCTTATAATCGACTCCGAGCACCTGCTCGTTGCCTCACGCGACCAGACGCGCCTTCAGTCTCTCGAGGTTGCCCTGCGCGTCCGTCTTGGTCTTGTAGACCCACTTCGTGCGTAGCACGTGCGTCCCTGGAGCGCGCTTCACGATTGTCCACACGTCGTTGCTCTGAAGAGCTGCTATTTCTTCTCTCATCGCCTTCATCCAGCCGTCACGCTTGCCACCGCGCATCGCCTCGCTGTATCTTATCGGGTCGGGCTCTAAGCCGTGTTCACAACTTCTCTGCTCTCAGCTAACTCCTCCTGTCGAGCTGCTGCTTCTGCACATTTAGACGCGCCGCGTGTTCCGTGCGCCGATCTCGTCCACGCTATTCCGCCCTTCATGCGAGCCGTAGCGCGCCCGCCTGTGCTGCCACCACTCGTGATGGCTGCCACTGTCGTCTCGGCCTCCTCCGTGTCACCAGCTCGGTCGCCGGTGTTCACCGCGCGCTGGAGCTGCGCGTTCTGCGCCTCCGACAGCGTCGCGATGTCCTTGACGTGCTGCATGACGACCACCTTGTTCTAGCGCGTCAGCAGCACCTTGTACCCCTTTATCTCCTTGTTAACACCGACGATGATCCCGTACTGTGATCGCTTCAGCAGCGAGTTCTTGCGCGGATCGCGGTAGACACTGCACGCTGAGCCGAAGACGACGATGCCACGCAGATCCGGCACCTTGCCCTTCAGCATCTCGAGTGGCGACGCTCGCTTCTCGTTTGCGCGCGTCGGGCTCCTGTTCAGGATGTACACGGCGTACTGAACGGCGTCGCCCCGGTACTGTAATGGCAGCGCGTTCGCAAACATCATGCTGCGCGCAAGATTTAACAGCGTCCGATGCATCCTCTCCGCCGTTCCGTTTGACGCTTGGTTTCGCGCCTCCGACACCTGGCGCGCGACACCCGTGCATTTGCAAACAGGTCAATGTTGGCGTACTCGCCGCCGCCGTCTGTCTCTAAGACGTGGATCTTTAACCCGAAACGTCGCTCGAAGTGAATGAGGAACGCCTCAAAATGCTTTGCCGTCGCGTCCTTGGTGCGCGCGAGAAACACGCGGCAGTAGTTCGACTTGCGGTCGATGAAATTGACCAAGTACCGGTTCTGTAGTCGGTCCCGCGGCGTCATCGGGCCCTTAAGGTCCGAGCAGATGACGCCACCGATGCGATCGATAGGCGAGTTGGTGCCGCTGTCCTCCTGCAACTGCGCATTGCGCATCTGCTGTCCTTCCATGCACGACACGCACGCCATGCGCTTGTCGCTGCTGAGCTTGATGCCCGAGGCCGGATCGCGCGCCATTCGAACGATCGCGTCGAAGGCGAGGTGCCCGAGACGCTGGTGTCATTGCAGCAGCGAGGCCTCGTGCGCATCGTCTGCGCTTGCTTCTGCCGAATGTGCTTCGAGCGCGGCCAAGATTGCAGCGCCGGCGCCGTGCCTCCGACTCGTCGCTGTCGTCTCCACATATAGCACGTTGCTGTCGGTCGCGACGTCGAACGCGACTAAGCCGTCACTGCGTCGAGCTAGAGCCCGCTTGTCGCCGTCGTTAAACGAGTCCGTAGCCTTTGCTCTTGAGCTTCCCGTACGACACGATATTCTTCGCCAGTCGCGGTGCCAGATACACGTCCGTGAGCGTCACGATCGTCTTTACACCACGCGCGAGGACCTTGAGGCGTACGCTGCCAGTACGCGTCAGTCGCAACGATTCGCCATCCGCCATGGCGATGTCGTGACTACAAGAGGATGAGTCAAGCAGAAGCGACTCGTCGTTCACTAGATGTCGGCTTGTGCCGCTGTCGAGGATCCAGTCGCCTCGCCCGATCTTGCTAGCGTCGTTCGTAGCAATTACTAGGCCGAGCGAGCCGTCCGTGGCTTGAGCTTTGCCTCTCGCGTCGCCTACAGCAGTTTCCTTGCCGCGCGAGCTCCTCTTCTTCTTGTGGCATCGTCTCGAGACCGCGCCCGGCGACTTTTCGGTCAGCGCTAGGATCATGCTGCCCCCACTTTGCGCACGCGCTTCTTCGTCATGCACCACACGCGCGCTGCAGTCGGACGCAATGTGCCCAGGTCTGCCGCACCGGTAGCACACGCGCGGCCCCTTGGGTGTAGTCTGGACATGTGCTGCGACTACCTCGCGGCCGACCGCGCCAGTGCCGTGTTTGATCGACTGAGCAAAGTGCGCCAGCTCTTCTGCATGACGCAGGTAATCGACCCGCGTCGGGTCGTGCTTCGCGCGCATGACGTTCATTAATCCGGGCGACGCGTGATGCACGATGTTGTCGAGCACGAGTGAGTCGGCGCCGCTGCGCGCCTCGCTTACTGCTCCCCATGTAGAGAAAGTGCTCGTCCCAGGTCCGTCGCGTCTCATTCTTTGCCATGAAGATCTTCATGGCCTGACTTGCAGTAATCGTGGTCTTGAACGCGAGCAGCAGCTGCTCGAGGATGTGCTCGAGGCGCGGCATCTGCACCCACCAGGTGTCAACCTGCTTGTGGTAGTACCGCTCCGCAGTGCCCGCCAGGAAGTGGCTGAGGAGGTCCACCTTGACGTCCTCGGTCCTCGCGAAGCCGCACGACGCTTCTCCGAGGCTCACGGCACGCATGAACGTACGGGCCCAGTCGAAGAAGCCGCTACCGAGCCCATGGTACAACTCTGTCCCGTCAAACTTTCGGATATTCAGCTTCCGCTGACTTGAAGACGGCATCCCGTAGCCGTTCAGTCCCGGACGCACGTCTGCTTGCGGCGGCGCGGGCTGCTGCTGCGGCAAGCGCGCACCAGGTGGCTCGAGCGTCGCGAAGCGAGACAAACCAAGTTCATCCGCGCGCTGATACGCTGGCGGCGCTGTTGGCTTCCTCTCCGGCGACCCGAGCGCGTCGATCGTCATTGGACGCCCGCGCATGTTCGCGCCGAGCTTCGATGCAAACATGCCACTTTCGACAGCACCCAGCATGCGCTCGTCTTCGTCGCGCACCCGCTGCGACGATTCCAGCGTCGCGAGGCGTTCCGTCACACTCGCGAGTGCTGCGAGGATCTTGTCGTCACGCGTCTCCTGCGCGGACGAGTCTTCAACGACTGCGGACGTGGTTACCGGTGTGGGCACACGCGCTGGCGAGCCACGCCCAGGGGTAGGTTGCGCGACACCACCGGGTGTCTTCGTAGTCGGTTCTCTGGCTCCTGCCATTGGGCTCATAACCTGTAGGACAATATGCTTGTGGAGTAGGAAGACGATTTGATTCTGTGTATTATTTGCTCTGTCTCCTGTCTGTCTGTCTCCTAGTCACCCTTTCTCCTAAAGGTCTCTGCTCCAACCGTCCCAAAGACAGATGGTTGCTGACCAACTTGTCTACTACCATCTAATACTGACTATATCTGACCAGATTGACGGCTGGCGCTAATCGCAATTTACAATCTTCAACTTCAACTTCCAACAGAGGCTGCGCTGGTCACTGCGGTACAAAGTTGTACTTGACCTGGATGTGCTATGAGCCTGATTAACCTGGTTAAGAAGATGTGGTGAACCAATTACACAGAAAACAGCACAAAGTAAACAATCGTCGAAAATACGCATTGGAAGAACAGAAATGTTTATCCCGACCAAAAGATCCAAAAGTGAATTTGACCTTTACTATTTTCACTGTAAAAGATCATTGTGCGGACAAGCCCATGACTACAGCGGATTGTAGCGCAGACATTGGGATCTTGGTGCCAGCAAAGTCGGTCGTGTCGTCGTCGTATGTGTCAATTCGCGTAACATCAGATCAGAAACCTGATCGATTTTTGCGTGCATCATGATCGGTGGTTGGGATGATTGTGTGGACGAAGGAGGCCGACCGATGCTCATCTCGATTCCTTGCTTCTGCCCGTGCAAAAAGCTGATACCATGCCGGTCAAAGCGTCGTCTCGGGCCGCAAAGTCGCGTCGGTGTTTTGAACTGTTAGAAGCTCCAGCAGACTGAATAGTACAGCGTGCACAAGATCCATACTATAGAGCTGTGCAGGAAGCAGAACGGAAGATCAGATCAGTCGAGATCCAAACAAGCAAACGGGTCAGCTCGACGGACTCACTTCCACGCCTCCATCCAGGTCAACAGCCACTTCCTGCATCTCAATCCGCTCGATCACGTACGTTGCCAAATCAAATGGCAACGTATCAACATACAGCCGCTTTGTTAGCTCAATGAGCTCTGAAGGCGAACAAACAACAGGCCAACAGCGTTAACCACCACCACAACAGACATGAGTGAACAACACAGTGCATCGCACAGTAAAAACCAATCGATCCGAGATAGTCGCGTACCTGGGACGTGAGTGGACGGACAGCTGCTGCTTCCGAGTCCGTCTTTTGTCTGCTGAAAGAGTCGACGCAATGTAACCCAAGGAATTGTCAGCGTGTACGTGCGCACGGCGTCTTCTTCGTTCGTTGCGCGGTATTGCAGTAGAAGCGGTGCTCGCAGTGGCTCCTCTACAGTCATGAAGTGACCGCGTACAAACGCTTCGTCTTCTTCTTTTTCTTCTTTCGGACCACCGGCATCATGTCGAGCCTTTGACAGTCTCGCTCGTTCAGCTAAGAGACTTGCCACCGTCCAGTTGCGTGCCAAGCGCTTGAGATTCAGCTGCTGGATGCGCACCACTTGTGAGTGCACGATACATTGGAAGCGACGCTGTAGCCACGAGCACGTCCAACGCAGCAGCTCGTCATCTCCTCTCAAAAGTAGCACCTGTTTTCGCTCGCGCCCTTTGCGAGGAGTTTGCTCTTCTTCTTTGGTTGGGAAGTAGAGCACGAAGCCGCCAGAGCGTTCCAGTGCCTCTTTCTCACTCCCAGCAGATACCCCCATCTTGGTTGTCTTGGCGACGTACTGTCGGTCGCGCTCTTCCTGGATCTGAAAGACCACGAACGCGTCTGCACTGCGGATGCTCACGGAATAGCCAAACTGCTGGCCACAAGCACGCAGCGCTGCTTGCCGCAACGTCTTGACCAGATCGTGCGCGTACTCGCTCAGTGCCTCACGATGGAAGTGAAACAGCGGCGACGCACAGTGGAAGCCCCAGCGACAACCCAGCAGCACTTGCTCCATACTCGCGCGCTCCTGCTCGCAACGGGCAGCAGCTTGACGTGAAGTCTCATCTTCGTTCGTTTTCCCGTCGCCATCTCTTCGCTTATTGTCCCCATTGTCTCCAGCTTTGCGTGGATACTGCGACGACTGCAGCGGGGACCGACACCCCTGCTGCAGCTTTACGTGCTGCTGCTTTGACGTCATCGAGGCTGGACGCTGGACCTGCAGACAAGAATTCCACGAGCAGCTCCTGCTTTCGAGGGTGCTAAAACAAGTTGTCGTGAAGTTGTACCGGATGGTACGTGTAGAGTCTGGACATGAAGTGGGTGCACGAATCAGGGAGACGGTTGTCGTGAGTAAGGCACAGTCGGGGATAGCGACGGTTGAAGCTGATGCCACTGTTCAATGACCCTTTTCACGCCAATATAAAGAGCTTCAACATGACTACGCTACCATATGCAGGGAACTTATCCGCCAGCCAGGAGCAGGAACACGAGGATGACCACGAGCACCAGGATGATAATGTACAGCTTGGTGTTATTGCTTTGCTTGGCCACCTGGTACGAGAAGCACGAGAAAAAAAATGACGCACAAGTAAGCTACCGAAGGATGCAGCAAAGGCAGTGTACGGGGACTTGTCCTACCCGTGCTGCACGTGCACCCTCCGTTTCAAGTCCGTCCGTCACGCAAGTCACGTCGTCGTCGATCTCGTTCAGCAGTCGCACATGCAGCTCCGTCTCGTCCTTGACGGTGAGACTGTAGTTGCGCAGATTCGACACGCCCTGACCGATCAATTCCAGCTGCTGGTCCTGATCCTTCATTATCTGGTTTTGCATGCCCAGCAGCTTCTTCGGTGCATCCGTCGCCCCGGGACTGCAGATATACAATGCAGCTCAGCAACGCGCCAGTCTCCACGTGCTGCAGCATCATATCAATCTCGCGACGCACCTCACAGCAGCTCGTGACACTCTTCGGTTGTTGTACATGTCCAAGTCTTCTTGCTATCATCAGCCAGCCACCCACCCACACAAAGAAACATGTACCCGCACAATGTCAGCCGAAACATCGACACACTTAGCCACCTCTCGACACTCGATCCGCCCACCTGGTCTCGTGCTAATTGGTTCAATAGACGTTCATGTCGCTTCATTTCTTGTACTGTCCTATCCGAGTAGTACCAAATCACAAAAAAACCCGTATCAAATAACAAAAATACTCTCAATCGCAAGTTTTTGCATACTTGACACGGTATTAGGTCGTACACGGAACTGGACGACGAGCGCTGGAGCTGGTCAAAGTCGCGCTTGAGCCGCGAAACGCTCTGCTGCAGTGCAAAGACACTGGTGCCAATACCTCCCGAGTTCCCTGTGCGAATCTTACTGGACAGCACCTGCTCTTGACTGCGCGCGCTCTCGAGTCGGTCCAGCCACGACGCCCACGCCGTCGCACTCATGGTTTTGATTTTAGTGTCGGTGCCGGATGAAACCGGTCAGATAAATGCTACCGGTTCTATCCTGAAATACCGGTTGCTCTCCGCTCCAGCCGACAGGATATTCACTCGTCACAACACGTTCGTACTACAAGACAAGCATGAGCCAGCGCGAGTTCGAGCGCAAGATGGAGGAGCACATTGAGGAGATGCGCGTGACGCAGACCATCGCTTACTTCAGCCGCACCGTGGAGCTGTGCTTTTCCGACTGTGTACACGCCTTCCGCAGCAAGAAACTGGACGACAAGGAGACGTCGTGCGTCAATAACTGTGCCGAGAAGTTTTTGCGCCACACGATGCGTTCGTCCGTTCGGCTGCAGGAGAGCTACGCCGATATCATGCAACAGCAGCAGCAGCAACAACAGCAGGAGCAGCAGAAATAGAGCTGCCAGTATCGTGCACAGTCCGAGCAAGAACCAGTGCGTGCCATGAAGCGAAACAACATAGGACGTTGATACAGTATAAGGTTGATACCGCGTAAGCTGTATGTGCAACCGGTTGCATCATCAGTAGGATACCGCGTAATCGACCCAATTTGTCAATAAGCCCCTTTTTACCCACAATCTCCCGCCAAAATATGGCTGCATCGCCCACATCTGCTCGTCTCGGAGGGTCCTCGGACGACGGCGAGTCCGCGACCTCTCGCCGCGGCTTCTCCAAGCGTGGCGACGGCTTCTCCGTGCAAGAGACGGACGGACTTCTCCACGTCGTGCGCGCGCACTGGCAAGAGGGATGGGACGTGATCGCCGACGTGCACAACGCGCAGTTCCCCGGGCACAAACGCACGGCAGGCTCGCTCAAGCGCAAGTTTGCCAAGCTCTACCGGACCAAGATCAGCGCCAGTACCAAGGAGAAGCACGCGCGGGCAGCGTCCATGGCCAAGAAGGTGCGGGAGGAGATGCGTGGCCAGCGACGGGGGCTTGGGGCGGGCCGAGGCGCTGGACAGAGTGAGGAGGACCTTCTGAAGGACACGATCGAGAGCAGCATGGAGCGTGTGTCGGAGGAGGAGCTGGGAGAGGGGCTGGGCGACGTGGCGATGGGCACGGCGGTGGCCCGACCGCCGTCCCAGCCACTGCCAGAAGCTGCGGTCACAGCTAGTGAACAGGAGCTGCAGCAGACGTTGAGTCAGAGCGTGCAGCTGCCACAGCAGCATCCTCAGCAGCACCATTCGATGCTGGGGCAAGAGACGCTGCTTAGAGACGATGCGTGGCAGAGTCTTGGTCGATGGCCAATTGCTGGCGAGCGGCTGCGCACGTTGCGGACGCAGATTGAGAGCAACGAGGCGACGTCGAGTCAAGATTTGGTGCAGACGGTGCTGCTCGTGCTGCTGGAATCGCAGCGTCATCGGGATTTGGAGCGAGAACAGGAACGCGAAGAGCGTCGACAGGAGAAGTTGCAATGGCAGCAGGAGATCCGTGAACAGCGGCGTCGGTACGAGCAAGAGCGGGTCGAAGACCGACGTCGGAATGATCAGTTTATGCAGGTGATGACGACACTCGTGGCACAAGTTGCGGCTGGCCAGCAGCAGCGAAGTGGACTGAATTGATGGTCGGCGTGCTGCTTGGTGGTGTAGTCGTCTTGTGTGCATTGTCGATGCCGTGATCCTCTTGTCCATAGCAAATTCGTGCTGTAAGTCGGGCTTATGACCCAGTGGTTGTTTTCCTATGACTGTCGCCTCTTGCAGGACTAACTTGCGCTTCTTGTAGCTCGAATGGAGATCCAACTGTGAAGCATTGGCATAATCAGACTAGACATGATGTCGTTGGTAGGTGTAGATGCCAACTCTGCCTTGACCTCACGAGAGGACCGTAGGATATCCCATCAAGACGCTTACGGGATCTCTGAGCACATACGGCTCTCACGCTCTCGCTGGCTTACTACAAACCAGTCTTACAAAACTAGACGTTGTGGCACAAGGCGATCGTTCGGTAGCTCGTGCCCCATCGTGTGCAATGCTGTGAGTGGGCTTGCTACCTGTCAGTTGACGAGATAGGCTGCATGCAGTTGCACTGCTTGTTGCACATAACTTCCTTATGATGCCAAGTATGTGCTACCCTGAAGCACAGCTCACCGCGCCAGAAACTTCTCGACGACTGTCAAGTCGCGATGCCTGCTCCGTGACTTGAACGCAGAGCTAAAGTGGCTGCGACTCCGCAGCAGTAGTCGGAGAACGCAGCGAAAGTGAATGGGCGGAAGTGCAAAAGACACCTGCAGTATCATTCTGTAAAGTTTTGTACATGATCGACGGGCTGGCATGGACATGTCGACTACCTCGGCATCTTTTCGCCAACGCTCTTCTGTACAGTAGTGTGCCGCAAGCACCGCACTCTGTTCAGCCCAGCGCCTGGCCTTGCTCGAGCAACCACAAAGCTGCACACACCATTCCAACCAACCTACCGGGAACCAACACAACAAACTACTTCAGTGCATCTGCGCCAGCAGTCCGTGTCAAAAACCAAGCGCGAACCAGTACCGGAACGCAGCACCTGGTTAACAATCCGTGTCTCGGTGCTGAGCGGTATCCTTCTTGCCCACGAGCAGCATCATCATCTGCATAAACTGCTCGTGTCGACGCCGGTTTTCGTCTCGCTCTTCCGCGCGTTCTTCACTGCGTCGGCGCCGCTCGTCACGTTCTTCATCACGTCGCTGCTCTTCTTCCTGTCTCCGCTGCTCCGCCTCTTCGCGACGACGTTGTCGCTCTTCTGCCCGACGAATGCGTTCCTCTTCTCGGTCCAAATCCCGTTGATACTGCGAGCGTAGAATGACTTTTAGCACTGACGTGAGCAAATCGTCACTCGGCAACGGATGTGCGTCTGCTGTAAACACAGCAGCGGCAGTCCCAGCCTTCCACTCAGAACTCGGACGTGCAGTCCGTGATTGAGGACGCGAAGCCCCAGCAACAGCAGCACACGACGGCGCAGCTGGAACTGCACTGGCGACTAAAGCCGGGGCAACACCAGCCGCCGTCATAGGAGGCACCTCCACCGTCGTGTCCGTCCAGCTGTTCTCTGACTCGGTCCCTCCTCCTTCTTGGGCTCGCTCTTGATCCTGTGGCGAATGGAACACGCTCTCGCTCCGCTCCATCGGCTCGTCATGGACGCTCGACGCAACAGCAGCAGCCCCTGGAGCCGGCGTGAGCCCCTCGACCATTTCCTTGTGGACCACATGAGCAAACGCAATCGCCTGGTAGTTCTTGGCGCCGCGTAATGGGACGTTAGACCGATACAATCGCGAGAACTTTTTCTTGAGCGAATCAGGCGAGCGGTTGTGCTTGGAAAACTGCTGATTGTGCAGCTGTGCCACCACGTCCCAGCCTTCACGCCAGTGACTGCGTACGAGCTGCAGCATCCCCATGGACTCGGCCTCGGTGAAGCCATCGCCGCGGCGCTGCACGTGCGGCCCGAGCCGTCGCTTCACCTCCGTCTCCATGACGTCTGCTGGCAATCGTGTAGCCATTTTATGAGTGGTGCACGTATTTTTTGAGGAGGGGGAGAAATTGCGAATGGCTAAATACAAATGGGTGGATCAAAAATAGAGCGAGGCGTGCGACGATCATTGACACACAGTTGACTTGATGGAACTATCAGTCGGTCAGGGAAAGAGTGAGGTCGAACAAGCGTCCCTGCAAATACCGGCGACATGGGTTCAACAGTCAACTTCAACATACACCAAGCACATGGGTTGGCAGAATATCGACAAGGCATGGCTTGGCCACTCGTTCCTGCTGCAGATGCAATCTAAAGATGCAACAAAGGACACAGACTCGTGCTAAGCTAATGAATTGCTGGGCACGCAGTGGATGTCAGCCACGAGGTGGTACACTTTCGGAGCGTATGACTTTACCTTCTCCACGTGCTTGCACGAGATGGTCAAGTCTTTCCCGTACTGCTGCGCGAGCTGGCGCATAGAGTTCACCACGCGCTGTTCCCATGCGTCACGATCCTCAACAGCGACGTTATCGTGCACATGAAACCAGCCACCACTGGGTTTCAGCACTTGCATGGCGAGCGGCCACGCCTTCTCGCTGGTAGGTAGTAGACCCAGATTCACGCGGTCAGCCACCGCACCTATCGTCGGAGCGGTCTCGCGATTGTCACCAAGGTAGACTTTACACTTGTCTGCGACGTGGTTGCGCGCCAGGTTAAAGTGCAGAGCTGCGACCGAGTCCGGGTTCCACTCGCAAGCGTGGACGAATGCAGCCCCACCAAGCACAAGAAACGGGAGGACGTAATAACCAATACCACAGAAGAGATCGACGATGGTCTCGCCGCGACATTCGGTGTTTGCCATGCGAGCCTTTTCAGTGACATTGCCAGACGAGAACATGACCCGTGTGAGGTCCCAGCCGTAGACAATACCATTCTCACGAATCTCTACCCAGCCAGGAGCCTCCTTCGAACGCTGCGACATAAGTACATCGTTGTTCAGGTACAACAGCTCCACACGACTCTGCCGCTTCTCACTTTTGTCGATAAAGGCTCTTCGTGCAACGCGAGAGAAAGCGGGTTTAGCAGACGCACACACCTGTGCCCACATCTCATCGGCAAACGGCGCCCATTGCGGCTCGAGAAACGAATCTCGAGGGACCATCAACACATCGCTCACAAACTCATACTTCTCCGGAACGGCTTTCACAAGCTCAGCGGGTAGTTGATGCTTACTAGCATATGCACAAATTGTACTACGAATCACTTCGTTGCGATTGAACCCACTCGTTTTACCAAACTTGTTCATGTACGCATCACGGTCAGGCACAATTTCGAGCCTTTGCAATTCAGCATTGTCTGTCGAGGCAACGCGATCGCGAATGGTGGCTGTCACAGGGATTAGAAACTTTGTCATTTGCTTTGCGTCAAAGGCGACCGACTCTGCATCATTTGCTACATGGACACGTCGTGATTTGTCGTATACGTCCAGCTTTTCTAGCACAGTTTTCACTTTCTTCACTTCCAGTTTGTTGACAAGAACACCCAGCAGAATTCCGTTTGATGAGGCCGACGTACTAGCCAGTACTTCGACTGAGTTACTCTCGGAAGCATTAGTGCGGGCTAACTTTGGGATAGTCAACGACAGGTGGCACTGGTATGTCGACGAATAAAACTGCCCGAATCCAAAGCATTGGAAACCACCACCCAAAATGTACACGGACTTGTTCGTCGGCATCCAGGTCGTGCTATGCCCAACAAAAGCTGCATTTTCATGCTTAATCTCACCAAGCTCGGTCCATTTGAAATTCTTGACGTCTAGCATGTAGACTTGTTGAGTCGCCTTGTCTCCATTCGCAAGCAACGCAGACGTCACACCACCCACCACAAGCACCTGATACTCGTTGATTGAGCAAGCACTGGCAGCAAAAAGTGCAAGAGGCTGGCTTTTGTTTCGGGTGTTTTCGAGGGTTTTTTGTTCCAAGGTCTCCGTCACAGTGTCGAAAAGCAAGGACGCACTGCCAATATCGCTACAATCGCCGCTCTCTAACGATGACATACCTCCCCAAAACACAAGCTTCGTTGACTCGACAACCACACCAATGTGATCAAATCGATGCAAAGTTTTTGGAAAAGTCTCTACGTGTAGCATACGAGATAATCAGTGCACGTAATGACAGCACTACTATGAATTCGGGGCGTACCAATTTGACGCCACTGAGGCAGGTTTTGATTGAGATCGAGAGCAAACATGTCGCTAAACACGTGCTGGGCATCACGACCACCGTACACATACACAACTGAGCCAACTGTACGTAGCCACATTAAAAAACGCGTCAATCCTTGTAAGTGCTGTTCAGCTAAACACCACCAACAAAACGGTACTCACCAGCGCAGCTGCAATGCTTCCAGCGCGGCGAGGGACCAATTCCTTGGGTGGCAATCGTCTTCCACTGTTTTGTCTCCAAATCCATGCCACACAAATCGCCTAAGGGTTTAACAGGGCTAGCGCGGCCACCAAACACGATCATGCGCGTTCCCACAACACTGCATGAGTGGTACATACGAGGCGACGGGCCATTTGCCCCGGCCGTCGCATGGTATGTCTGCAGAAGAGATCCTTCCTTGGAAGGGGCTAGGAAAGTCACAGTTGCAACGCGTGTTGTTAATCCTGCAGCGGTAGGCCCCTGACCGCCAAATACCACAATCGAATCCCGGTACCGCACGCTCGTATGCCCCACAAGCTGAACGCTTTTCTTTCTCGCTACCTCTGTCCAGGATCTCAACTCAACCAAACACCCACTTTCAGCTTGCGACACTACGAGTGGATGGCAGAATCCACCACGGAAAGCTTCAAAGAGTCGATCTGTCTTCTGCTTGTTAGCCTCAAACTTTTGGTTTGCGATGTTCACAATCCATCGGAGGTACTCGTCGTTGACCAGCAAGTGCTCTGCGCTCCGTCCGAGCGGAATCTCAAACCCGTTTGCAGTTGTTCGAATTGCGCACACGATCTTTCGGTTGCCAAGGACAACACCCGATTCCCGAAAACCGCTCGCGATGCCCCACTGCAACAACTTTTTTGCAGGCTCTACATCACGACAGACAACGTGCATGATGAATGGCTCGTGCTTGAATATAATCTACTAAACACAACACACACGTCAGCAGTAGCAGAGAAAATAGCCATATCGAGTCCAGCATAAGTTTGCATGCAACGCACCATGTTGCTGTGACTGGATTGGGCATCAGACGAGCGCAGGGCCGTGACTAACTGATCAAATGTGATGGTGGCGTGCGCAGCGATCAGCCACTTGCCGCCTTTCGTGATCAGATCTGAGCCCGATGCATCCCCCTTTCCTGCTGCAGCTTCTCCACAGAACAGTGCAATGCGACCAGAACAGGAGCTACTCGTCACCTACGTCACCCCATTTGACACCGTCAGTGGGGACAGCAAAACAATTTACGAGCGTCGCTTCACACGGGCAGTGGGGGAATCAACGCACGTAATCAGGATGAGCATTGATCGTATGAATCATGTCCGCAATGGGCTCATCGATGCAGCCTTTGAGGCTCTTGTCCTCCATTGCCTGCAACTTGCGCAGACTCTCACGCTTGAGCTGCGCGAACATCGTCGTCTCCAGTCGTCAAAAGTACCACTTGGCAAATTGGTCCGACCCAAAAAAAACACATCCGACTCAAAACAGGACCTCGAGTGAAGTGATCTGTAATAAAACCCATTGCGGGGTCCGACCATTGTCCGTTAGAAATAGGGGGCGTTGAAGCACAGGCAGACTGGAGTCGTCACCCGTATCGAGTAGAGCGATTTATAGAGGGCTAAAGAGCTGATGTCGTGGTGCAAGAGCAGCTGTTAGTGATAGAAGTTGGTTGATCCGCGCTCTGCAGCGTCTTTGCGTTATCTGCTGATAACTTCAACGCTATCCCATTCATCAGTCTCTAACGCTAGAGCTCAACCGAAGTGTGGTAAAGCGAAGAGATGAATCGAATGCCTGCGTACTCAGCGGAGGGGCGTCATTGCCAGCAACACGTTCTCTCGCTTATCGTCGTGGCTAGACGTTGATACTACTCGATAGTTTTTGAGACACCAAACACGAACGGAGCAAAATGTGCCGAACTCGATGCAGAATACTCACAAGGCTTTCATACACACGTTGACCGAGAAGGTAAAGGCAGCATACCATGCTTCATACTCGATTCATCGACAATAGGTAAGAGCGTGTCAACATTACTTATGCTGGCTATGGACGGACACACTAAGCATCGTTTACCTGCGGAATACACTGGACTCTTTGCAGTCCTGCCAACCCACAGGACTGCAAAGAGTCCAGTGTATTCCGTGAACGTCACTGTCGAAGCGACCGTGACGTTCACGACTGCAACACCACTCGCGTCGACCAAATTTATGTTGCTCTTGGCGGTCTAAAGACAATAATTTGTGCAAATCCATTTGCCCACACGGACCTAGAAAAAAGCGAGAGTCAGAAACACGACATTCTTGTTTTGAGGCACTTGTTACAAAAACGCTATTGTTGTACCCACTCGCGTTGACTTTTTTTTGCCATTGATCATGGAAGAAGATGCGCTGCCGAGTATCCGCGTACGCTGCGCCGGCGTGCGCGGCAACCACGTCCGTTCCTCAGCTTCTGACAACGCGCACGTGTTCTATAGCGACTCACAGTATCGTCAGTCGCCTTTTCTCGTACGCGTGTCCTTGAACAGCGTGAGCTTCGTCCATCGCGGGACGGACGTCGTGGAGCGGCGGTTTGTCTTTCCAGGGCGCGTCTTGGACGCAGTGCTGGCGGATTTCTCTACACAAGCGCTACATGGATCAGCAAGGTATACTAGCAGGTATACAGGTGGTCCACGACCGCGGCGCTCGCCGCTACAGCTCCAAACACACCATCACGTATGTGTCTTGGTGCGTTGTGACTGTTTAAATGTATACACTGCAGCTGGAGAAGTGTTTGAAGTGGCGCTGCCGTTTCAAGCCAATCGGATCTTTCCAATGGCAGGACGAGGACTCTTGTTGCAGCGCAGTCCAGCGATGCAGGTTCCGGTGACGTCATTGAAACGGCCTCGGGATGCTGCAGCTGTGGCTCTGGCCAGGAGGAACCGACGAGCAAGCACAAGTAACAGAGGAGATGGGAACAGGTGCAAGTACAGTGTCCCGGGAACGGGTGCCCCAGCACGACCGAGGTACTTTACGCTCCGACATCCTCTTGATGAGGTCCGACCAGTGGCGCTGAGCTTACGAAAGAGCAGGTTGAGTGGAACTGACGAGACAAGGTTTCTCTCAGACTCATCGTTAGAAGCTGTCGATGTGGTGGAGGTAGGAGCGTCATCTGTGCTCGTGGCGTTTCATCTCGTGGAACGGACGTTTCATGTTTTTCGAATGAAGGTAGTGGAGACAAAGGCAAAGGGTTACTGCATGCCGAATGTGAAGATCGTTGACATACCAACGTGGACGAAGTACCGTGGTAAGAGCGATGTGGAGGAATTGCGGGTGCGAATTGAACCCGAGTGGGTCGCTGAACTGCTGTGGAAGTCTCCGCGAGTTAGACCGGCCAGTTTAAAGTCAACATTACAGATGCCGGTTGCTCCGCCACCACACGCCACTACTTCTCCTGTTTTACCATCGCCGTCACTGATGAGCGGATCTTCGATCTCACGACGAAATAGTACCAAAAGAGCATTTATCGCGTCAGGTTGTGACGGTCTTCCGCTGCTGTGTATCATGGACAAACAGTCTGGCTCTTTATTCTTGAAGCCTATTTTACGGCAAGAGAGTCCTCATGCAAAAGATGCTCGTGCAACTAGTAACGTTCGTACCTTATATTGTCGTGACGCTGTCCCTATCTCGCGCAAAGACGACTCAACTTCGCGTGGAACTGGAGAGGATCTTGGAGAACAGAGGTATGAAGGCTCAACCGATATCGTGGTACTGGAAAAAAGTGGAACCCTGATGTTGTACAGAGAGCACCGTTCAATTTGTCGCCTGATTCTTCCCGACTTGACGCAAGATGATATCGTGTTTGATGCTGTACATAAAGATGGCTCGAAAAGAATGCGACTGACAGGCGTTGTTCAGTTGCTCTCGATCGACGAAGGAAGTGCTTATGAGATTGCGCTCCCGAATATGTGCAGTAGCATGAGTGGGAATATATCGCGATACGAGCATCCACTGAAGATTGTAGGCTCCCCGCTGCTGCAGCAAGTTTTTGATGTGTTGGATCGCATAGTTCCCCCTACGACATTGTCCGCGTTTAGAGCTCAAATGGTCTACATAGCACAGCTGAAAGCTGAGAACGCTTTAGCAGATAGTGATCTCGTGGGTGGTGGGCTCGAGTGGCAGTCGTTCCGTGAGTGCATAATCAGTCTGCTGCCGAAACAAGCGTGCACTGATAATACGGGTTTGTTACCAGTCGCAGCAGGATTGGCCTGCGATGACGAAGAGACGGCCACTTCTTCGCCCTCGTCAGCTTTTCATGCGCTTTGCCAGAGTAAGTTTCATGACATGTACCAGTATGAACATGCAATGCTTTTTGCCACCATGGAACTACCAGTTACAAAATGCTTGGCGAGGGATGTTCAGAAGAGCACGAACGACATCACCGTAGTAGCTTGTAACCGGGAATGCTCAAAAATGAGAGACTATATGACGGCCGTATTTGCAGGACTCCACTTGCTTTGCGAAGAGCTCAAGCTGTCAACTGCTCTTGCTCGTCAGCGGCTATATCTGGTCGATCTGTTATCAGATATGGGATTGCAGCTGGGTTCGGATCATTTTGTCGCCTACTACAAAGATGACAACTGCATTTCGACAAAGCGCCAAGTAAGCTCGACAGCGTTGAAACCACAGCACGAGCTGCATGCAGAGAGTTTGCTTGTTTTCAGCACGTACGGGTGCGTGCCGGATTTGATGCTGTGGCTTCAAAACAAAATGATGGCAAAAGCACAAGACGCAATGGAATTTCCTGCGCTACTTGATGATTCAGACCACCAGCAGCTTATCAGTGATTGCTCATTTCGACGTCGCATAAGTCCTCTATGGCGCACACGAGCAATCTGTCGCGCATTCGAGCTCATGTTCCCAAAGTCAAAAGACACAGCTCACCAGCTACCCACCGCGCAGTCGAATGCACTTGAATTGATCATTTACCTCGCTCAAGACCCCGTGGGTAGTATGCTGTCGCTGGATGATCTCCCAGTTGGTTTGAGTTTTCCTATCGTTCAGTTCATTTGTCAGGTAAAGCACAACCCACCGCCTTTTATTACTGAAGATGTTTGTACGTTCGTGGGAAGGGAAGACCTCAGTATTGCAAGCGCAGAAAGCCTGGCCGATCCTTTCAATTACTCCGGCATTCGCCGGAACCAAAAACAGCATGATCCCGCAAGCGGCTCATCCGATTCCAGTATTTTATCAGAGGACGAGATCCGCGATGATTGTGACGGTCTGGAACGCGTCATAAGTCGAAGTCAACCGCTCTTTCCTGCCGATCAGAGGATGAAGGAAGTTACGCGGCTTCTTCGCTCGTGTCGCCCGATCTGCTTAAAATTAGACAAGACGCCAGATTTATCGGATCAGGACTATGCACAGCAGCAGCAAAATCGATTGTTGCTTCTTTGCAAACGGTCGATGGCGCTACCTGTCGCCCGCGGTATGGTCACGCTCGGTAGCTTTGACGTTACTACTGCTCAAACACAAATGTGGCGACTCCATATTCCTGCGTTGCCTCTGGCAGGTCGCAAACCACCTGCAAATGCTATTGTTGAGCTCGATCGTTCCGGGTATGCCACAGAGTTGACGTATTGGCCCCAATTCCACAACGGGTGCGCCACAGGTCTTCGGCTTCCAGCACACGATCTCTCAGGGGCAATCGATCGCCACTGGGTCAAGTATCATCGGCCTTCAGTAGGTGAGCCACCGCAACCAAACTCTACTTCGAACCGGCAGACAGCAGCAGCAGCAGAATCAGATGAAACTGCTGCTCGCAAAATGGAAGAAGCGTATGCAGCCCATGCGGGGTTGTTGATGGGAATAGGTCTACGCGGCCATCTCAAATGTTTGTCAATGGCGGATGTATACAACTACTTGTCGCTGTCAAATGAATTTGTGACTGTTGGGATCATGCTGGGTATGGCAAGCACAGCTGCACATTGCCGTCGCAAGCGCAAGCAGCATGCCTTGACAACGCACATTACCGTCCAAGACGCTGACAATCAGCTTTTGCCGTCAGCAAACGAAGACACTGAAGTACTATCGCTGGAGATGGATAGCTTCTTCCCAGGTGTTCCTGAACTCGCATCGTCGGAGAAATCCCCTCTTCGTGGAATGGGGTTTGCGTTATCGTTGGAGAGGTCGGTATCCAAAATGCTGTGTCTTCACTTGCCGTCATTGCTACCACCGCCATCTGGGGGCTTTTCAGTGCCTGCGTCTACTCAGACGGCAGCATTACTCGGACTAGGTATTTTGTACCAAGGAACAGGGTATCGATTGATGACTGAGCTGTTGCTCACTGAAATAGCACGCTCTCCATCAAGCTCCCAATGTGTGGGAGGTGACGGTAATGCGGAACTATCGATGGCTTTGTTCGATCAACTAGAGGGTTATGCACTAGCAGCAGGAATGGCGCTTGGTCTTGTCACACTTGGGCGTGGTCAGACTACTACAGGAGATCCTGGACTGGCCGACTTGAAGCTCGAAGAAAAGCTTCACAAGTACATTGTCGGAGGAGCGGTACATTATCGGGACCTGAATGCGGCTGGAAGTTGTCTTTATCGTGGTCGTTGCTGGCAAGCGTTTGGCGGTGGAGGCAGTGGTGTTGGGTCTGCTGTTAATGGCAATGCTGCTAGTAATGGCTCGCCTAATGTCAGCACAGAAGCCTTTCCTGGTGCTGGTCGTGATACAAAACACTCTCATGACCGGAGCGGAACTCGTGGTGGCGGCGAACATGTAAATGTTGGGGTGACTGGTTGCGCAAGCGCTTTAGCACTAGCATTTATGTACATGCAGACTGACAACAAGACTGTGGCTGCACAATTGGCGGTTCCTGACACTCTTATCCTCCTGGAATATGTTCGTCCAGATATCTTGTTGGTTCGTACACTTGCAAAAAATTTAGTGATGTGGAGTAACATATTTCCAACGGTGCAATGGATAGAACAATGTGAAGTCCCTGCACAGCTTTATGAAGCGTACCAGTCGATCCTGAATGCAAGAGTGGATGTGGATCGATTGAAGCATTCAAGTGGATCGCCACCACATTTTGATCTCCACTCAATCTGTGAGGCCTATGCAAACATTGTTACGGGGGCGTGCATGAGTATTGGGTTACGATTTGCTGGAACAAGTAACACATCAGCTCGCGATACACTTGGCAAGTACGTTCTACACTTTCGTGAACTAAGATCGAACATGTCTTCGTCATTAGTCCTTGTGCGTGGAAGTAGCAATGCTGTTGCTGCTGCAACAGAACGGGCGACGGTTGAGCGGTGCTTGGCCGTATGTGCACAGGCACTCGCGTTGATTGACGCGGGAACGGGCCACGTGGAAACACTCACGCTGCTGCGCTCACTTACGTTGCGGCAACGCGTAGACGTGGCAATAAGCTATGGTAACCACATGGCTTTGAGTATGGCGATCGGATTGCTCTTTCTAGGTGGTGGACGGGCAACCGTTTCTCGATCGAAGGAGGCGATTGCAGCACTCGTGATCTCGCTGTATCCGATACCTCCAATGAACACGGCTGACAACAAGTACCATCTGCAGGCTTTCCGTCATCTCTATGTGCTAGCTGTTGACACTTCGCGGTTTATCGAAACGTTGGACGTAAACACAAAGACGACCTCCGCGGTTCAAGTTCAGGTCGATCTTCTTCCAAGCTCGTTCGACGAGACTCAATCGTTATGTCGAGAGCTACGAAGTCCATGCCTTCTCCCGGATATCACGACCATGAAACGCCTCGTCATCTCGGATCCTGAATTCTATCCGATCGAAATCATCGTGTCGCCATCATCCGACCAGCACATGCCTTCTGGAGCGAACGCGGTGACAACAGCAAATGCACTACGTTTGGATCTCTTACGAAAGAAGAACGTGGTGTTCCTCAAACGCCGGCAACGGAAAGACAATGATCACTCGGCGAATTTTACGGATGTGGACGCGTGGAATTACAATGGCGGTAGCACCAGCGATGATCGACTGCAGGCACTTTTTCGCTCGTACTTTGACACGAGTCTTGTCAGCGACGAGGATGATTGTGGGGTGAGAGAAAACGATAACGGTCAGCTTGGTGTGGCAGATTGGGGCAGCAGTTGGTGGTCATCTCAATTGAGCCCGCGATCGCTGGAAAAGGTGTTGGAGGAGGCGCCGTTATTGATGCCTTCATATCTGAATGCGTTGCATGCGCTTTTTCGACTGCAACAAGTACCACAATTGTCATGTGCCACCGAGGTTGTACACTTGAGCATGTTCAGTGAGTACTGTCGTTTGGCCATGTTTGTACAGGCAAAACATGGTGAAGACAATTCCGAAAAAATGCACGGGTCAGAAACTATGGCCAAGATGGCCTCATTTCCCGAGTTTGGCGTGTGGCTGTCACACCAGACGGAAGAAGCTTTGGGAGCGCTCTGGCGTCGAACCTCGTTGAGTATTACTTCAATGACTTCGGCGCGGGTTCAGCTGCTGAATGAACCCTCGTCGTCGATATCATTCACAATGCGGGATCAGTCGGAAACGGATACGTTTCTGCTAAGTGTGCTACTTCGATACTTTGCTGGTCTTTCGATGTCGTCGTTGCCGACCAACAAGCAGCCGCGATCTACTACAGTCAAAGATTGGAAAGTCAAGTTTCAACAAGTGCTGTCTGCATGCTCGCGAGTCGCCCCTTCATCAATAGGCATGACATCGCCGGCACGATTCCAGTTGTCGGTATTTCTGGAACATGAAGAGCTCACAACCGCTGAAAAGACGTTTTGGCTGAAGCTGGTGTCGTTTTTCCTGTTTTCGATCAGCAACCGGTGACAATGGAAAGACAAGACGCAGGTATGAGTTTCCAGTATTATTTAATTTTTATTGTCTGCAACCGTCGATCACGTGGCTGGCAGTGTAAAAATGACAGCCACCGTTGACCTGCTTGCAAACGTATGTGATTTTCCTATCTATTCAGCCCAGACCAACAGAAACGATCGAGTCTTCGTCAAGAACCGGGATGGCCATTGCCCGCAGAGTTTGATCCGCCAACCTAAAATCATATAAACGTACGCGCATGAGGACTGCTTGCTCGCTGCTCAAAAGTCTGCTGACGCTCACCAAATTGTTGCTCCTGCACGCAAACCCTGTCGTTAGCAAATCCATGCTGTTGCTACTACCTCTACCTCTGTTTTGAAAACCATTTCTCTTTTTCTTCATGGCATGCCATGATATTCCCTTTTCAGCATGCTTCATCCACGCCAGCATTGCCCTGAGTACAACCTGCTCAAGTCAATTTGGTAAAAGTGATTTTCATTTTACGTCTCTTGCGAGGCGATGACACGGCTGGAGGAGCCACTGTCGACTCCAATGGCTTCTTGACCGCCTTCGTTGGAGGCGAAGTAAGCCTTCGGGCCGCACCACCATTAGCCGACGCATTGGCCGAGTTCAGTGTGGCACCATCCAACATTTGCCCATCCGGGCTACCCACAGTGTTTCCACCATCGTCTCCATCATAGCCACGCTTACCTGTCACTTTTGGTGATGCCGACGACACCTCCTTCTTTGCCTTGAGCGGAGTGCCGTCAAGCGAATCTGAGCGATTCATTACCTCGCCGCCGTCCACCGCGGGATCAGGACTGCCCGGCTGAGAAATGCTGCCCTTGCCGTTGTCCATCGCAATAGCCAGTACCTCCGTTTTCTGGCTGGAGGTCAGATCCTCGCCATCTTCCTGCAAGCGCGTTCCCTCGTCACCCGATGGCGGAGGGCTCGGCGCCGCGACCTCCTCTGCTTTCTTTTCCTCCTCCTTTTTCTTCTTCAGAAACTCACGACGGGTGGTTCGAGCGACGACCCGCCCGCCCATCTCTTCGAAAACGCTTTCAGGCAAGGATTTCCAAACAACTGGAGTTACCCTCACATCCATAGTTGGAGTTCGCTTGTTCCAACGATAGAGATCACTGTTTTTAAAGTACTCAACCGAGTTGTCAATGCTCACTTCGCGACTGCGTAGTTGGCGACGGTCGATATCAAAGCCCACGTAAAAGCACACACCGAACTTGTTGGGCGGCTTGGGAGTCGCGCCGTCATGCTGTTCGTCTGCTGTTGCTTTAGCACCTACTACGAAACTCAGAGGGAACTTCGTTGGAAATGCGCGCAAGCGGCAGAGCGCTGGATTGTACGCCAACGAGTCGACCAGCTTACGCAAACGGGACTCACAAAACCCGCACCATGCTTGTTCCTCATCCTCTCTCTCTGTATAGACCTCAACCGCTAAGTAGTGCTGGTGGACAGCAAAAAAGTCAGATGGCTCAAACAGCGGCCCCCATTCTACTCCACCTTTACTAAGCACGTCCTGTACGATCGTCAAGCCACGTTTGAATTCCTCCTTCATCACTTTCAGACTGTGGGTCGATACGTTGAACGACGAATTCATCGACGGGTATGCGGGCGTCAGGATAGGCATCACTTGGTATCTAAAAACGTGTGATACAAATAGTATCCACATCGTCAGCAAGGTACAAAAGAAACAAACAAACAAACACTGATAGACTGATCGTTGGCGCACCGATTATGGCCTGCATTAGCATTCCAGACCTCCAATCCTAGTTTCGCGTCGTGTGTCTTGCATAATTGAATAGCGAGTGGCCATTTCCAATTGTTCAGCACCATAAAAAAGCGCAGCAGCAACGTCGAGGGCGCTGCCGTCGGGTACAGTTGGTTGATAAAGCATACCAAGATGCACCAATTGACACCTCCTAGATACCCCATCTTGTTCGAGTAAAGGCCTCGTCGCTTGGCCCATCGTCGCACAATCCGCAGCACACTGATGAAACTCTCCCGATTCGGTGTCAATTTGATCATAATCTCCGTGACTCGTGGGCCATTGAGACTCTTCTCCGTCGCAGGGTCGACCCCCACAAGGACCTGATCGTCCAAGATATTGAGATCCTCTGGGATCGAGTTCCTTGGGAGAATCGCAATCTGCAGGTCGACATTAATCTCCTCGTAATCAAACGTGAGGATCGGCACGACCGCTCCTTCAATAGCCACGAGGTTCGACACCTTGGCATGGTGCAGGAAAATGTCCTTCAACGACGAGAAAAAGTCCTCTCGAGTCACGTGTCGAGGCGCGACGCAGATCGTGTCAATGTCAGCGCCGGGTTCGTTCACCCCGAGGCGGTACGAGCCCGAGACCAAGATCTGGCCGCCCGCGTCGGCCGCCATTTCTTCGGGCACGCCTTTGGTCATGCAAATGCGCTTCACCCATTGGCGGAAAATCGACCGCAATTCGGCTAAAATCAACGACCGGCGCGTGATATTCACGTCCGACTCGGTGGGAAAGTTACTGTTCATAAACGTCTGGAGCTTGCTCGACTGCTCGAGGTCTTTGGTCTCGGGGGCCGTCGTCCGGATGGCCTTGTACGCCTGCTCCAGCACGTGCGGAGCGACCGTGAACGTCGAGCTCTGCATCGGTGGGAGGGAGGGAGGAGGTGGAGGAGGAGGAGGGCCAGCGCGTGGGCAACGGCGTGTTTGTGTGTGGATTGTGTGCCTGTTACTTCACGGCGTGACGCTCTCTCGGTGGTGTTGATTGGTGGAAACGTAGTCTCGGGCAAAGAGCGTAAATGGACGAATAGTGTGGACTACACCGCGGTGCTGTTTTTTCGGAATCGCTGTTTCTCTTTTTTTCGAAATCACGATCTCTGACGTGACAAAAAAAGCAAAATGGACGACGACATCGAGGCGCTTATGCCCCGCACCAAGTGCGTTTTTCTTCGCGCTTTGTAATGATAGAGAGAGAAGGAGGCGGATGAATGCAGAAGTGACTGATATTGTACGTGCGTTGTCGCGTTGTTGTATACGAAATGGTTCGCTGCTAACAGAGCGGCCAACGACCGCGCTCCAGTCGACAAGGCCAAGCTGAAGCGGTTTATGGCTACACAGAAGACGCGGCCCAAAAGTATTGAAACGTACGACAAAAAGCAGAAGATGTGAAAAACGTTTTTTTCCAGAGGAAGTGGCTATTAGAATGGTTTTTCGTTTGGGCTGAAATTTAAAAACTGCTATTCGTCATATGTGTGAAAAATGCCAGCCAATCGGATGTCGTCGTGGTGCGTGGAGATGTGCGCAAAGACGCCGAAGGATTTGAGGATATTGACGACTTTTGGGTCGATGAAGAGTCAGCGCAGGACGACTCAGTGGACGACGACGATGACGATTGTACGTCTTGTTGTGTGAATGTGTATATACAATGGGTGGACAAGACGTCCCTTCTTTTTACTGATGTAGGTTGAATGGGTACTGTGTACGAACAGCACTCACTGTGTCAGACAAAGAGTCGGCAGATACGTCTGGAGACGTGTCGGAGCCGAGCGAGCATGAGGTGGAGCTTCCGGAAATCGACACTCCTCCGTCCAGTGATCGAGAAAGTATGGATGTCGAGACTGGGCCGATTCTGTCACGGACGCAGAGAATTGGCAGCAACAGCAGGGTTGAGAGAGAGAAGAGCAAAGAGGACGCGGTCGTTCCATCTCCGACGCGTAGTGATGTCTCGTTTGATTTTGGCGGCTCGCCGCATGGCTCGGTGGATATGAACGACGACAAGAACGTCACGATTCGGAGTCGGCGTAGCGCAAAGTCTACTGAAAAGAAGAGTAAACACACGGAGCCAACGGCGGAATCGTCTACTGAGCGTGGCTTTGACAACGATACGGCCAGTCCGTTTTCCACGAACGAAGGTCCTGTGACGCCACTTTCAAATGGTGCGTTTTGGCACGTTGGAGTGGACTTGAGATGCTCACCGTGCTTGCACTATTTTGAATACACGTGACTGACATGTTGTGCCTCTCGGTTTGTGCGGAACGGCAGCAAGTGATCGCGAGTTGCAGCCTATTCCGTCTTTCTCGGACAAGAGCTCGCTCTCGCCGAATGTTAGCAAGGAGTTGTTCAAAAACGATGAAGACGGTAGCGATGCCACTGACAAAAATCGTGAGAAGAAGCAGACGAAAGTGAAGAAAACCAAGAAGATAGCAGTCACCAAACGATCAGCTGGTGAGACGAAAAAGACACCTCGACTGCGGCCGACAGGAAAATATGGCTACCGAACAACTCCACCCGCGACGGATACATCGACTCAGTCCATGCAGACGGACGACGATAATGACGAATCTTTCGAGGCGCAGAACGATTCGGGTGGTGAGACAGGAGACGATAGTTTCTACAACGAGCCCGATGCGCCCGGTGGTCCAGTCCGGGATAGATTGCCGGATGCCGTTAAGATTTTGAACGATCACGAGAAAGATGCTGCTTGGGATGGTAGTGGCTTACGTCGATCAAAGCGACGCCGCTTCAAGCCGCTCGCCTGGTTCAAGAGTGAGCACATGGTGTACGAGCGCACTTTTGTAGGCGTGGGTACGGTGATGCCTACGGTGGTAGGCGTCGAGCGCCTCGGTCTTGACTCTCCGACGACTAAACGAACGAAGGCCAAACCACCATCAAAGAGGACGAATAATAGCAAAGCGTTGGCGTTGAAGGAGCTCCCGAAGGACGTGCAAAAGAAGATTGTGGACAGTGAGTGGGCGACGCTCTACGACGGCCAGGCCGGCTGCATGAATGATTTGAACGTCATTTGCCGTTCTAATGAGATTCGTTTGCGCAAACTTCCGACGGAAGAGAGGGGCGGTGCTGTTGTGCACGCGTTTGCAGGACAGAGTTTCAATCTTTTCAGTCCGTCCCCATTTGCTCGGTGGATATCTGGACGCGTGGTTTTGCCTCCAGGTGCATGGAAGGAACCCGAAGGTGTCGGTCAAGCAGTGCAGTTATTCTATGTTACAGGGTGCCAGCCTAAATCACTGGAACTAGCATTGTCACCCGAGACGGATGACGACTTCTTCACGAGCAAGCACACAGCACACTTTTTGCTCAGCCCCGGCGACGAGTTTTACGTGCCAGCTGGCAATGTGTATTTCGTGAAGAACCACTCGAGCTCGGCCGATTGTGACTTGCGATTTACAATCTTGAAGCCTGAATCTCAACAGCCGCCGGTGGACGATAACGACTCGGATGCCGAAAAAGTGAACGAGTCGGCGGCTGGGTCCAAGCCGGAAGCTTCTGGAGCCGATGGTAGCTTGCTAAAGCGTAAGCGGGAAGAGGACGCCGAGGCTGACGCTGACTCGGACTCGGTCTAGGGACTGAGTAAATGCTTACTCGTCGTGCAGTTGTTTTCCAGACAGAAGATTGTACACTACCTACCGTCGTGTCGAATGCCAGGTAGCAAAGAACTCGCCAACGTTGCACGGGCTCGCACATCGGAACCGATGAGAAAAACGCGACAGTACCAGGCGAATGAGTTTACTGCTGGATTGGCTCGCGGACGTCATTAACTTCTTCTGCCTAAGATTTATCAACAATACAATCTGCCCACCCCCCACACCGTCGGGATGTAGCCCTTTACAGTCTGCGATCCCGGCTATTCGCCATGCAAAGAAGGCCAGAATAGGTAAGCTCAAGCTGCTAGCAGCACTGTAAAAAACATTCTGTGTAGACACTTCTTGGTAGCTGCGGAATGCGTCGACTGCCAGTTCGAGGCTACACAGCCTGTGCTCCTCGGTTTGCACGTGCGGATCTAAATTTCGGAAGACCGTGTACTCGTCCTTCTTCGTACACATCTTTCACTGGCACACGGTAGATCACGCGATCTTCATATACGTTCCGATGCACCACGATGTTGCAGAGCGCTGCAATGGCCAGTTCAATGCAACTAGGTGCAGACCTGGTCACTGATCCAACTACATTAGCGGAGTCAAAATGGTGCTTCTGCCGTAAACCTTAGCAGAACGATGCGTTTGGACTGCTCGATAAGGCTTACGGCTTCTTACATTATCATACCTGCTGGCGATAGGCTTGCAAGTGCATGGGATCAGCCACTCGAACTCAACATAGTTCTTCTCGTGCGATTGTGTCCTGATCCATTGCTGACACGGACGATGTCGCATCGCTGAATCCACAACGTGGGCATGCTCGACCCATCTGCTTGACTCCATTGTTCGGTGGACAAGGAGGACCCTGTACTGGTCGCTACATGGTTGACGGCTGGGAAAAAGGCTACAAAGATATCGCGTCCGCGTGTCTGATGCCTCATCTCCTGCTCGTGGTGTGCTGGATTTTGTATTTCCAGCCACGGCAGGTGCTCGATTCCGGCACTGAGTCACTGGTCGTAAACTCGACACAGCCGATCGCTTGCTCTTCGTTCGTCGCTGTCGTAGATATAGCAGCTTGTAGTCGTTGCTGAACATTTGCGTCGCGTTTATCCAACAAGCCTACCGCCTGCTGCTACTCCTTGATCATGCTTTCGTATCAAACACTGCAACAAGTTTAACAGTTTAGAGCTAGTGTGGAGACCATCTGATGTCGATGCCGTGAGTGAACAATATCACAACAGAGTTCGTCCCCTCACGATGCCTTTTTGTTGTCTAGATGTCAATTGCCTCAATGAAGAAAACTCAGCTCCTTCTATACGATGAACCAACAAGCTATACGGGTGCCTCGGTTCATTCGGTACACAAGGACGACTTGGCAACGCCAAATGTTTCAGCGGCACACCTGTGACCACACGAGAACGATATTCCGTGCGAAGATGGCTAATTGCAGAAGCTCACTTGGCATTGTTGATCTTAGGTTACGAATGTGCATCCACCGTCACTTGCACTCACCTTTGAGAAGTCGCTAAGGACCTTGCAAATCATCATAATCAGCTGCAGCACATGCCACACATGGTCTGTGCTGCTTGCAGGCTCCCTGCCGATACGCCATCGATACGATCGTTTCGATTCCATGATCGCAATGCACCGCCTTTGACCACGGCTGTATGGGGTGCCTCGAAGGAACGCCGCTGACGTTCTCACGAATGTTGCAAATAGCATCGAGGCACTGGCTGTAGGAGGCCGTCAATCCGTTACGTGGTCCTTTCACAAGCTGTTGCCGACTCAAAGTAGCACGCAAGGATATCGAGCATGCACCTGTTGCTCCAGACAGCGTGACCCTGAGTATCTCCCCAGCATCCGAACGGCACAACATAAGAGATCGTGCAGATCACCCGCTGGTTGAGTGAGAAACCAGTGACCTCCACGACATCGGCCGTTGCTTCCGCTGTCAAGTCAACGGACGGCACCGCCACGAATATCGCATACCATCACACCTTACACTACGGAAGATACGCATGCAGCATGACTGCTCCATAGCACGTCTATGGATGTAAAGAAGCAGTACCAACAAGAGGACGACACCATGAAGCAGCTGGAGCTGCCGCTCATCTTGAAGCTGCTGAATCTCCTGCGTCCATCAGCCGCGTTTCCTCAAGTCGTTGCCACTGCCGTCACCCCAATCGACCATCACCTCGAGACCGTCGAACACCTACCTAGGGCGCTGCAACAACCCGCAACAATCTTGTAAACCGCTCGTCCGTGCCAAATCATGAACCCGATGCACGTGCCCCGTGCCAGACGGTCAGGCTTCAGCCGATTGTCGCTGCAGAGCGAGACGACTGCACTCGTCAGACGTCACAAGGTAGTAGCCGCCGCCGCAGTAGCAGCACCGGTAGGACACAAATCTTCACGAGTCCGAACTTTGCGTCGCTCCTTCGTTCCTTCCACCTCAAGGGAGACAGACGTTCAGTCAAAAGCCTGTCGACTCGTTATCGCTGCACGAGGAGCGAGCGAGCGACACACACGGACTGTCGCTGTCGCATTGTCAATCGGCTTTCCCCTCGCCAAGGAGGTCGTGGTCGAGCCACTTCCGCTCCACGAAACGACGAACAGGTCCCGCAAGTCCGACAGACTCTTTGGTTACTATTGGGCTCCGATACCGACTGCAGCTCCTTCCAGCAGCTCACAAACGCCTCGAGTCGTCCGTATCGTCGTCTCCTGACCCCCTCGTTTTCACAGGAACACCTCGAGGATGTGGCGCTGGACTCGGACCCTCGGCGTCTCTGCTTTGCTGACTGTCGGATCGATCGCCCACAGCTCTTCAGTCCCCAAGACGTCAAGCGGAACTCTCAACACCCTGACTACGAGCTGCAGTGGCGGCTGTAGCAGCAGCACTGGAGCTTGTGTCGTCGTGGGCCAATCCTCGACTCGGTTCATCAACTGCGTCAATGACACCAACTGCGTCACGCTGTCGTCCGGACAGTCAGCGCTCTGTCTTGACGCCTTTGGTTCGACCGCTACCGAGTGGGTCTTCCAACCTACCGAGAGCAACGACAGTGCAGGCGCCGGACCTTTTGAACGGGTCGGGCTCTTGCAACTAGCTGGCCACGTTACTGACCTGACCTTCAGCAGAGCAGAAGAGCGGAGTGAAAGGCTGTCCGAGGCGTTGGAACTCGCGTCGATGAATATTCAGTCGGAGGTGACGCTGGACAAAGTGACGTTTGGGAACTTGAGTCTGTCCGGACTGGAGAGTGCATTGCCGCTGAATGGCATCAAACGAATGTACGTTGCAGTAGGGAGGCTAAGGAGAAGAAGCTAGGACTGAATGGTGGATGACAGGTACAACGGTGACTAACGTGCTTTTGGGGTGCTTCTTACCTCGTAACCAGCTGCATCAACAATTGCTCGTTGCGTGAGATCCCCGCGTCTGCACTTGCTGGCGATTCCGTCAGTGTCATGTACGCTTTCACCTCTGTCTACAATCATGTGGGTATATACACTCGCGACTAATGCTTTACTGCTTGCCCACCATATTGCAGTGACTTGTCTCGTAATGACATCTCCATCGTCGGTACTGACTTTCAAGATGTGTCGTTTCCAAACCTAACTTTGCTGTACGTGTAGCTGTTGCGTACCACTTGTGGCGTGACGAATGACGCTTGCTTTGTTCGCAGTGACCTGTCATCAAACGCTCTGACGCAGTTTGAGCTTACGGGGGATAACTTTCCTGCGATCACGACGCTGTGCGTGCAATACTTGTTCGTCTTGACTTGCGATCTCTTCCTGACTCTCAATTGCTGTTTGTCCATCATGTCCAGATATCTCCATAAGAACTCACTGAAGACGATTCCTGACGCCGTTTTTAAGCTTCCCACTCTGCAGTTTCTGACGCTGACTGGAAATCCCGTCAATGCGCCGAATCTGACAGTGCAACAACTCACCTTCCTCGCAAATTTACGCACGTTTACAATTGACGGCATCACGAACACAAGCGCATGCCCGAGTTTCGCAGTCCAGCGTGCACTAAACAGTTCCTTCGCGTTTTGCAAAAAACGGAGTGAAAACGTCGAGCCTTCGACGACTACAGCATCTGAACAACCCGTGGCAGCAGTACTTGCATTCACCGATGACGACTCTTCATCTAGCACGAAGTGGATCATTCTGGGTGCGTGCTTGGGTGCTGTGGTGTTGCTGCTGCTTATCGCTCTCGCTTGGTGGGGCTACCGTCGACGAAGAGATGAGCATCTCAAGCACAGGAATCGTACTATTCCGTCACCTGCCCTCGGTATGGGTAACCTGATGGACCACCCGTACATGGAGCTAGGTGTACCTCGTTCGAGAAATCTCTCCAGCCAGACAACATCAGATTTTGAATTGCTCGCATCCGTGGCTGATGGCTACATCGGCCTGACGAGACTGTCCTATGATGATGTTTTCTTGCACAAGATGCTGCGTGTAAGCAGCCGCTCCGAGTTGTGGCTAGGCGAGTACGAGCAAGAGGCTGTGCTTGTCAAGAAGATCAAGAGCAACACTGCTTCAAAATCGTTGTTACGGGACTTTGTGACCGAGATTGAGCTCATGTTTGAGCTTAAGCACCCACGCATTGCTGCTTTCCGAGGTGCCATGTGGGACGCCGACGGCACGGAGCTTTGCGCTGTGGTCGAGTACGTTGAGAAGGGTGCTCTGCGAGATTGTACCGTGAACAATGCTGTGGAGTTGTCTGTACCGAAGCAGCATGCCATTGCTCGACAGATTGCAGAGGCCATGGTATTCTTGCATTCACGGAATATCGTGCACGGTCGATTGAACGCGTTTAACATCCTGCTGGACAAGGAATACTCTGCCAAGCTGAGTATATTCAGTATTTTCCACTACGTCAAGTTGTCACCACTGGACAACGAATGCCGAATCTTCGTAGCTCCCGAGGTTTTGCATGGGGAGCAGCCAACTGAAAGATCAGATGTTTACGCGTTTGGCGTCGTTCTCGTGGAAATTGACACTGGTGAGACGCCTATGATGAATGCTCGGAGGCTGTCAGTCGAGAGAGGGGGAGCCGAAGAATATCTCTCGCCGACTGCGAAGAGGACTGGATTCCGCCTGAGTCGTCTCTGCTCTGGGATGATGAAGGAAACGATCGCTGCGTGCTTGGAAAAAGATCCGGAACGACGACCATCGATGACCGACGTGGCGTTGGCTTTCAGAAATGGCGCAAGGAAGCTGTAAGATTTGCTGGAAGACCGTACTGAGACTGTAGCTGGCACGAGACATGCTTGATCCGAATGAGCGACTTCTATGCTAATCGAGAAAAGAAAACTTAGACTGCTTGGATGTTGTGCAAGTGTCTGTTGTACTCCAATTCCAGCTCAGGTGGTGGCAGACGACATCTACATTGAATCGGCATGTTACAGGGTACATGCCCTTATTTACTTCAACATCTTTCAACAATGTTGTGTTCATAGTATCAGTCGCTTTGCTGATAATGCTTGTAAGAGCGTTGAGTACCGAACCCATAGCCACCAGTAGGAGATAATTGTGCACGCCAAAGCGATCAGCAAGCCAACCATGATTTGCCATTCTTAGCACCGGGTATTTGCAACAACAGAACAGTGACTTTGAGACACTCCGACGCAACGTTGGCTTCACCGTTTCTCGATAGTTCCATACAGAATACAGTAACCGCATTAAAATTACATGTGCCACGCTTGTTCTAGTATTTCTCGTCATGGTCTTTCGGGGTATGCAGACGTTGCATTGAAACTGTATTTTTGATACGGCGGTCGTCCAGCAGGAAGCTGGTCAACGCCTCACACGAGCTAATCGTGATGCTCCGCAAATTGCACGAAAATGTGGCTTGCCTCTTTTTCTACAAGCTCGAACAAGTGCGTCAAAACTATCTGGACAATAAATATTTGAACGCGCTCCCCTACTACTTCGATCAGTACCCGCCCTGAGCCTCCTCTGTGCGTGAGCTGGTGGTGTAAGCTTCTCTTCTATAGCGTTCTCTCTATCCGCTAGTTTGTAAATCGAGCGGGACTGTCCGGCGTCTGCAAAGCGGTAGCACTAGTTGCTTGATGCAGCGAGCACACGTTGCCGTTGCGCTCGTACGCAGGTTTGCGGCAGCCTTCTACGACGCACCGTTTGCCTGGGGAGAAAGAACAATGTCATGGGCCACAGTTGCAGTGATAAATGTATACACATGGTGCACCTCACCTCCTCCATGAGCCCAGCAAAGACCGTTGGAGACTGCTGTCTTACTGCAGCTTCCATCGCTGCATTTGCGACCTAGAAGTGCAGGTGAAAAGCGCGTGAGCAAAACCATTTGGAAGACAGCAGACCACAAGCAGCGTCCGTACCTCCGCCGTGGGACCAGCAGACACCGCGAGACTTGGCACGGTTCTCGCATCCATCCATTGTGCACTGCGTGGAACCTCCTACATATGGTCCGCAACATTTTCTGAGCAAATCCTGAAGCCAGCTTTGGTTCAAGATCGAGTCACGCTTACCGTGCTTCCAGCACACGCCCAAATTTTTAGCACTACTCGTACACCCCACAACCGCACATCGTTTGCCGCCCTATAACATGTACCGGGATGTGTAGTTGCATAGCCCCTGGTCGTGAGTTCGATCCAAAAAATGCAACAACAACAAAAACAGACAGACTGTAGCAAAGCGACCGCAGCCCAACTTACGCCGTGACCAATGCACAGCCCACGGTTTACCACGTAGCGCGTACAATCCTGAAACTTGCAGATGCGCGACCTTTTCACGGCAGCTCTCTTTTCTGCAGCAGCAGCAGCAGTAGCTGGCACATCTGCCGCCCTGTTTTCCGTCGCGAAAACACTTGAGTCAACCGTGAGATTAGCTGCGAACGCATCAAGACCAAGGAAACCAGCGATCAGTCCGCGCAAACACGGAGATCTCCCTCCTCTGTTACTGCAGCTTTAGACCTTTGTCTGCAAGTGATCAGCATGACGTACCGAAACTTGTGCCAGTTACCTGGGCCTGGTTTTCGTCCGTGTTACCGCCCAAGATGAAAGCAAGCGAGCTCTTGCTGGACACCACGGCCTGCCCCACAAGCGCCGCTGCTGCAGCAACCGCAATAGTATCGGCGTTCATAATGCTTGCCAGTTGGTGTCTGCTTGCAGCGAGCTGCTGCAGCATGGGCGTCGGCACGACTTCCTGATCAGATTTTGCATCGGCGGATGGCACTTGTTGTACCCACGTTTCGCTCCTGTCGATATTTTCATCGCTGGACGAGGAGCTGTTCATGCAGGAAGACGACGGCTGCTGAGGGTCACAGAGGCGCAGCATCCAAGGGGCTGGCTGAGATAGGGACCAAAGGGGACGAGGAGGACTCACCCGCCCAAGAGAGCTCGACTGGAAGTTTGTATTCGATTCCTTGAGAGTGACTGCTTGCCAGCTGGTCCGACAGCCGAGTGGTTAGTTGGAGCAGGCTCTTCTTGGCAACGACTCAAGTTGCGTCTGTGCAGCGCTCCATAGAAGAGCCGGGTGGCTGCTTTGCCCAGGGATCCACTGGTGTCGGCGGACGAGATCCGCTGTTGTGCGCAGTACGGTGCTGGCTGCCTCCAACGTTGCAATGGAGCTAACTGGATGGTGAGAGGGACGAGATCCCGCCGCTCTGTGCACAGCAGCGCATATGAGAAGCCTCGTCTTTGCCATTCCGTGATGCAGTGTTCCGGATGTCCAGCGTGACATGACACGCTCGTCATCTTCAGGCTGGGCTGGAGACATAAAAGTCCCTATTTGCACCGAATCACAAGAAGGAGGGGGAAAGGCGGGCGTTATGCTACGATAGCGCTGGCGGGCGTGGCTCTATGTAACCTCAACCTAGGATGATTACTCACGCAGTTCGTAGCACGGCTGCTCCGTGGCTTTCTACATGCAACTCTAGATGCACGTCCCGTTCTTGCTAGATATACCTACGTGATTCGTAGGCTACTCATTTGACTTCGATGAACTACATCGACAAATGCTGAGCGAAGATCCACTTCTAAACACGAGAGCGTTCAATAGTAAGCCACAGCCAGACATCTTTTCACGTCGTCGTATCTTTATCGTCTACATGACGATGAGTCATCATATCTTCTTTACCTCTGGTGGTGCAGCTCACGCTGTTAGACATTCAGTCGCTTCTGCATCGGTCTTCTTTGCTTTTCTCGATACTGCTACAAATGTCGCTGCATGCACCAATGAAGACGCTACTGATGCTGTCAATCCTATCGCCCCAGCTCCATCACAAAGTCGTGGAGTTAGAAAGACCCCTACCGGTCGGGTCACTCGGAAGTCAAGAGAAAGCTGTCCATACCGTGAAGCAGTACGCTGTGCGCCAATGTTTTGCTGTCAGCAGTATCCACACAAGGTCGCGTGGCATCATGCGTGTTTTCTTCATTGCTTGCAGGGAGAAGACAATCAACAATTCCATGGGCGGTTGGTGTCGTTGCTAGAGCGCGAAACTAAACTCGTTTGCAGTTTGTGTAAGCTCGCGATCATCTTCAACAAGACTCGCGCAAAATTGGGCTCGGTCGACACTTTTAGACAACTGCCACTGTAGACACGTCCGACGCGTAAACAATATGGGCGGCGCGGCGTGCGCCACGATTTGGAAATACTTTTGAAACGTGTCATACCTATCTTTGATCCCAGGGTTGCTGAATCACTTAAAGGAGGTGAACATCGTTACGAGAGCAAGTGATATTCACAACTACTTATGTTAAGCTATCTGTAAGGCTCCGTGCGTGAGAATGCAGTCTTCACCCGCACTGCGATGCTTTCGCGATTCTATCCGTTAATTTGCATGAATGTTGGTAAGCTCTTGCGCTTGCTAACGGGCTCCTGATAAACTGAAAAATGAAAGACAATGGAAGGCTGTGGATTCTGCTATACGAAGGAGGTCAGCGTAACGTTAAAGCAACGGGGCCTCAGTTTATGGATGTTCTCTTGCTCAATTGTAGCTGTTCTCTTGTTAGTTCGTGGATACTCTCTCAGCATTTGTCCCCATAGTTCATTCAAGTTAAATGAATAGCCTATGAATCATGTAGGTGAATCAAGCAATTACGTAGGTGTTCTAAGAGCTACCCCTTTTCTATCCAGCGAGCATACGCGAGTAACGGGCAGTAACAGGCTACTGTGGTCAGTTAATTTGTAGGAACTTCTAAGATTTTAGGCTGGAACGACAGCAGGTCACAGCGTGCATCTCTGCTGAGACCACTCAGAGCTCTTTCGAGGAATCCCATGACCCTTGGTCAGGGGAGACCCCACCTATGCTTACTCATGAACGATGCATAGATGAATAAATGCACGGTGGATCTGCCCAGAATGAACGATTCAACGCCGTGTTCATACATTGCGGCAAGATCCTGGATGGTAAGGGTGCCACGCAAGTCTTTCGGCGACATCCGTGATACCGCCACGACGTACATGGCGCGTGCAGCACGATCCGGATCCACTTGAGGCTGCTAACTCCTGAACGACGCGCTTCATCTCGGCCCCCTTCGTACTGCAGCCGGGACAGCAAGAACGTCGGCATCCTCGCATCAGTTCCCGTAGTCGGTCAGCTGCCGTCTGAACCTTGCTCTTGAATTCGACGTTCGCGTGCTTAGCCTCTCTGCACTGGGAATAGCTGAGGGTTGCTGTGTTTACAGAAAACAAAGTCGGGTCAGGTGAGAACATCGAAGCACAAGCTGCACAGATTGCAAAGCGATCATACCGATGTGCTGCAATCTTTTTAACTTCACGTTGGCCCTGTCCAATTCACGCTGAACATGTTGTATCTGCCGCATCGTCTGCTCTTGCTGCTGTTGTCGACGCGCCAGTTCGTTCTCCAACTGGAACGAGTGGCTCGAAGTCATTCGCTGTATTTCGTTGATCCGATCCAGCTCAACTCGCATTTTTTTCATGCGCTCTGGTAGTTCCGAAGCACTTCTTGCCAACACGTTATGACGTGCTTCTTCACGGCAGGCTTGGCGATTACTGTGAGATCGATGTTTGCACTTGCAGCTTCTTTTTTGCCGAGCCTCAACGAATAGGTACAATCGGATTGCGCTTCGGGGGCTAGCTTTGCGTCGACACACAGGACACGCTGGGCGTCCAGTTAGCGCTCGTTTGACACAAGTGTAGTGAAAAACGTGGCCACACGACAGAGTTGCCAGCTCTCCCTTCATCGTTTCAAGGCAGATCGCGCACGCATTAGCGCTGTCGTCATTCTCATCACTGTCACTCTTCCTCAACGATGAGAAAAAGCTTAAAGACTGCGCCATGCCTAAGCCTGTACAATGCGCCATGCTTCGCAACAAAGACTATTTGGAAATGAAATGCGAGTGACATGCGAAAAAAAACATCTTCTTCGTGGGACCGGACGACGCGGGGAACATCTCTCACATTAACGTCGCGTCCCGCGTCAATTAACTAGAGACGTTGCTGTTGAAAGAACTCGTTCGTACGAAATGCCCATTTTGCGAGATCCTAAGTATCATTCACAGAAAGATCCTCTTTCACTGATGAGTTTGAGCCAATTCTTCGCCTTATGTGATGGAAACAATGTCTCAATCAAACTGCACCACCTCACTGGAACGTTACCTCGTTCGATACGGCTGAAGAATATCGACGATACGTATGGTCGTCAGTCATTAACAAGTGCTACGAAGCTGTTGCAACGGGCACACAAGTGGTCTTTACTTCAACATCTAAAGCAGTCAAAGACGCTCTATCATGTCGACTGTTCAGGACGACCTTACATAGGACACTCAACAGTCGTGGTGACATCCTCGTCTTTTAATCCGAGCGAGTGACAGGGTGTGTAGCTCATCCAGTTGTTCTGACGATGAAAGGGCCTTCAAGGTTACTACTTCCAGTTCGATTGAAATCACTAGGTTCATGTCAAGGCTTTCTGCAGCGCCAGTCACTTTTCTATCTACTTCCTCGTTCTTTCGTACCGCTGCATTCTGTGCGTTTTTTGCCTCAACAAGGACGACAGTGACGCTTCAAGCAGAACCTGTTGTTGTGATGATGTGACGCGATTTTGATCTGATCGTTGTCTTGAGTTGCTAACATTGGAACCCGTATGTCAAAACAGCCACAAATGCCTAGCAACCAGGGATGTAAGTGACCGCCCGGGTGTCGCGTGTCGCAGTCAGCTGACCTGGTCACTTCTCCACAATGACCGAACGTGGTGCCTAATATTATTTCGATCTTAAAAATTATATTCAAAAGAACCTGTTTCAATTGATAGTTTAGGGGCGCTGATATTCTACCTTTTTATAGGGTTTATTATCCAAGACAGAATAAAAAAACCTCGGATAAATCCGCTTGGGCTTTCTGTAGCGGAGCTACTTAGCGCTCCTTAACAGAGGAAGTCTTCGGCTCGAAGATTCTCTTAGTTATAACAAACTAAAAACGACTTACAGTCGTTGAAGCGTACAAGCTTAACAATCCCGATTCCAAAGTGATTACGATGCACAAAATAACACACAAACTAGTCACTACTAGTCAAACACGAGAAAACGCCTTGACAAGGCCAATATTCTTAACAACACACTGCGCCTAGACCAGGCACTTGCGTCCATCGATCCAACAAGGGGAACTAGACTTTATTTATTCTTTAACTACAGTAACAAAACCCTAAAACCTTGTCTGACTGACTTCTACATTGCGATCCTATGACAGAAGTCTTGACCCTTACCCTAACCTATAAGGTGCGGTATTACTGTAAGTACATGATACCAATACTGTACCACTCAAATCCACCGATCTTTACTTGGTGTGGACACACAGCATAACCGGTTCAATAACCGCCGTGTAACCCCGCTACGGTAATATTCCGAAGCACTCACCGATAGGCTGATACGGGCCTTCATATCAGACAGCTCTATTGGTACAATAAACGATGACACACTTTTGTAAATAAATATAACAAAGCTAGGAATAAACGTAGGTACATGTAATCAGAAATGTATAATATATATTATGGTTTTACTTTTAATACTATTGAACGCGTCGTTCATTAGCTAGCCTTCCTCTGTACGTACGGTGTACGTGAAGTGACGCGCGGCTCTACCTACACTGTCGTCAGGGTAGGTGCACAAGTACTGAAGCAGTACTAGTGACCAGTGCCCCGTTACACAAGGCCACTGGCTTTAAGGAGTAAATTATACCACAATTGGAACGGGGCACCCCTTGTCTGGGTGCCACGAAACTTCACGTGCACTAGTACGTGCAGAGGAAGCTAATCTACTTGAACGACTCGTTCAAGCAAATGTAAAAAGAGAACTGTACTTAATATAGTTAAGCTATCAATATAACTCTAATCTTTATCTAACTACACTAAACTACGTCGTCGTATGACGACAACCTGCTTACCACTCATTGCGCGCGTCTAGCAGCGATTGATCGTAATCTATGGTTGATATGTATTATGTCAACCAATATTTGAGCAGCGCATGAATGTTATCTTCAAAGGGAATAATACTCCTTCAATATTATCCATCTCGGATAATGTTGGTAGGATATTGTCATGCTAGAATATATTCCTATTGACACCGTTTGGTGTCAGTATCATGTAACGGGCTACCCCGTTACATCACCCCCCCTAACCATCAATCACCCGTTGATTAATTTAGAATTGATTGGGACAAGGTGACCACGGTTGGATCACTCTGGGACAGGGAGCAATTGTTGGTTTAATTTATTCATTCTTTAATCCAACGCAAGGTTTCAAAATCCAAGCGAGTTCCTACTGTAGCAGCAAGAAAGGCGGTTGCACGCATGCGTGCAGCCGGAGAGAGTACTTCTCACACCTCAGAGCAGGTGATTGGTCGCCTGCTGCTGTAAGCAGTCCACGTGGTAGTCCCTACGTGCGCCAATACATTCGCTGCGTCTGCAGCGGGCACTGCGAATCGCAATGTTGATGAGCCTGCAATAGAGCTCATCTATTCTGGCGAGTCAGATGATGCATCGACTCGAAGGCGACACCTCACGACTCCAGATCACCCGGGGTGGACACTGCAAGAGCCAGGTTGACTGGATCTGGGGAACGTGGCGGAATCATGTCCGAGATCTTCGGACCAAGCGATTCGTTTGATGAATCCTCGTCTCACGCGAGTCCATTTAAATTGGACGTGTGGTAATGGTGGTGTCGCACATATACGTCACCACGAGAGAAGCAACTCTTAAGATTGAGCTGCTACTAGTGTCAGTGCTAATGCTGACACCAATCAAGATGCCAGGGACCTAAATGCCCTGTGCCACGCTCCTCAAGTGGAGTCTCCTTGGCAGCCGTCATTTAAGGAGTTGGACTGGTTGGCCGGCATGACTACCGAACGGGATCGAATCCCGTTGTTCGATTGCAGGAAGATTTGCCCACCTGATTCCAGCACGGAAACTATCCGTGCTGAGGAGGAGTTCTTTGCCGATGCGTTTTTCAAGCATCGGTGGTACAATGGCAGCCGTGTTCGAGACAGTAAGGCCTTGGTGCAAGGATGGAGCTCCTTCATCCATAACATCGAGTGCATTGGACGTGAGGCATGGCTCGGTAAACTTGATGCAGCTTGCATCAGGTTTGAGAAACGCAACCCAGTAGGTGTGCAGTACAAGTTGCATCGAATTTCAAGAGAGGCAGGATTACCCTGTCTCTCGTGGGGTGATTCGTGTCCAGGTTGCCTGGAAACTCGATTAAAATAGTAAATACATAAGCTTGAATTAAAGCCACAGCAATTTCTAAACCTCCGTGCCCCTAGGGAGGCCTACCTCCCTAATGATCCCTATTAGAGGGCGCGCATCTCTACTGAGATGGCCGAAGGGATTGACACCTTGCAATCTCTGTACTCACGTTCGGGTAGGTCGTGTTCCGACGGCCCTTCTTCGAACGCAGCGGGTGGGTCTCGTCATACTGCTTAACGAGACCCAGATCATTAACGATCAGCTGGGCACGAGGCTCCCAGCTGTCCCACGCCGGTGGATGGCACCCCAGCGGACGAGGTAACTCGTCCGGACGCCATTCACGTCGCGGTGGTTCAATATACGCTCCGCTAGAAAGCATTGGCCACCGCTAGAGTCCACCAAAGGATGTGGTGGCGGTGGGAGCACCTGATCCGGCTCGAGGGTCGGATCAGCTTGATGTTCAGATACCTGAATCGTGTATCGGAATAGTTGCAAGATGACCTGGCTCGTGAACGGACTCGGCGTTATGATCTTGCGGATTTTGTAAGGGATAATTTTAATTCATTAACGCACGATAGTTTGAACGATCGTGCCGCGTTTGCGATCGCACAACTTGAGAACGAACGTTCAACTCGTTCTATTCGTGATGAGCTGGCTACAGCTCGTCTAGACATCGCATAACTGCGTGAACAGGTCGCTTCGCTAGTCGACCAGAATGGCTCGTTAAACGGTACCACTCGAAGGTGGTCTCGGCTCTCCACCGCGGAGGTGTTTTTCGCATCTCGAAACGGCTCAAACTGATAGTTAGGGCGGATACGGCCGACGTTAAACGTAGGACGCGTACGCATCTTACGGGGCAGTGTAATCGTGTATGCGTTGCCTATTAGGCGCAACACACGAAATGGACCGATGTACTTGGGCAGTAATTTACTGCTGCCCACGTTTGTCACTGCGTGTTTCGGTAGGTTTACTGTAGACAGTAAAACTAGGTCTCCTTCATCGAATGAAAGAACATTCGCTCTTCCATTTTCGTCTGCGTTTCTTTTCTGTCTGTCAAGTGCATCTACAATAGAGTCTTGAACGAAGCGGACAACCGCTTCGCGAGTCAGAAAAAATCATCTGCTGATTAATCCTTGTCAGTAGCCGTGCGCTTCGTGTGCACTGCTGAAAGAGCGTTGTCTTCGCCAGTGAGGGCGTCATCGTCCTCACTGTGGCATTCATTGGCGATGCTTGATATACCAGCATCGTCATCATGATCATCGATGTCGATCGCATCGGCATCGGCATCCATCACGTCGACACCATTGTCGACGGGTGATGAGCAAGAACCAGATCGGTTTTACGATCGAGCGAGTCCAACCCCCCCCTTAAAGTAGAGTCACACTCTAAGAAGGAAGGTAATCGTGGATGGCGCAGGCCATTCACGAAGAACGGTGTATGCGTTGTAGACACTGCACCGAGTTGTTGATGGCGAATTCCGCCATCGGCAAGAACTCACTCCAAATCGTAAACGAGTGGACATACCCTCGAAGTATCTCTTCGAGGACGCGGTTGACACGTTCCGTCTGATCATCTGTTTCTGGATGTTCAGAAGTCGACATCTTCAAACGTGTTCCAAGTGAACTGAACACGGATTTACAGAACTCCGCCGTAAAGCGGGGGTCCCTATCAGACACGAGTTCACGGGGTAACCCGCGAAGTCGGAAGATAGTATCGTTGAAGACACGAGCATAGCCCTGGGATGTGATTGACTCCGGTACAGCAACAAGATGTACCATCTTGCTGAACCATTTAACAAACACAAGAAAACCAGTATTCTTGTGAACGTCTTTCGGAAACCCGAAGACGAAGTCCATCGATACGGACTGCCAACACTTTGCTGGAATCGGAAGAGGCTGCAAGGGTGCGTGGGATGAAGGACTAGGCTTTACCCGTTAACAAACTTCGCAAGCGCGAATGCATTTGCGCCCAAACTCATACTGGCGGGGCCAGTTGAAGTCACGACTTACCGTGAGGTAAGTCTTTTGTCTACTGCGATGTTTACTTGTCGGGGCATCGTGACACTCATACATTATGGGCAGTCGCAAATCGTCATGAGCGGGAACGACGACACGAGGTGTGTCGCCGTTGACTGCTGTAAAGATAAGCAGTGCATCACGAACCAAATACCGTTCGGTTGAAGAGCGGTATTGAGGCGTCAAGGTTTTCAAAGCCTGTTTGCATGGAATAGATACGTAATTCATCAATCACAGAAGAGACTTATCTTCTGCGTATTCCTTCCGCACGTTGTCGAGCAGAGTCGACGACGGAACACTCGCTGCTAGTGTTGCTACAGTGGGATCACCCCTACTGTTGTGTTGAGGCTCGAAATCGGGCCGACGCGAAAGAGCATCAGTGACACCATTAAGCCGTACTAGTTTATTCGACGGAAAAGTTGTACTATGCGAAGAAAGATAGCCACCTCGTAATTTGTTGCGAGGGGTGTGGGCTTTTTAAGGCCGAGCGTAATAGACGCATGGTCAGTATAAACGATGAAGGGCCTATCTTCTAAGAGACATACCCGAAACTGAGCCAGTGCATATTTCATGGCAAGTGTTTCCTTTTCATGCACCGGGTAATTACGTTCAGCTGCTTGCAGCTGACGCGATTGATAACAGACGACGCGCTTAACGCCATCTGAGTCGTACTTCATTAACGCGCAGCCGACCGCAACATCTCTGGCCTCACATACCACATGAAATGGTCTGTCCTGGTCTTCAATCGCCAGCAAGGCGATTGCATCAACCTTTTTCTGTCACAATCAAAGGAGGGCTGACACTCAGCACTTCATGACCACCTCTCGTTTTTCTTAAGCAAAAGAGAGAGATATACGGTCATATCGGCGTAGTTGTGCGAGTAATTGTGCAAGTACGCCGCCAAGCCAAGGAACTTTCGAAGTCCCTTGACGTCGACTGGCACAGGCTAGTCACTGATAGCCTTCATCTTTTCCGGATCAGGGGGTATACCGTTTTTACCCACGATGCAGCCAAGAAGTGGTATTCGCTTACTGCGAATAGACACTTCTTGAGGTTCACGAACAACTTATGCTCTCGCATTAGTGTAAGAACCTTCCGGACGTGGATTCTATGAACCTCCACGTCCGTCTTTCCATCCATAGCACGGCTATGGACGCAGACATCGTCGAAGTAACTCGGTGCGAAATCGCGCACCAATCGCAACAGATTCGTAACACATCGGTTGTACGTTGCAGGGGCGTTACTTAGCCCCTGTGGCATCACTAGCCACTCCCAGAGCATACCACTGGGGGTGCTCACTTCTGTGTAAGGGATATCCCGTTCACGCATGAGGATCTGATAGAAGACATCCATCAGATTCATGGACGAAAAGATGGTACCCTTTGACATACCATCAATGATTACGTCCTTCCAAAGTATCGGAGTTTGAGTCGGTACCGTTGCAGCGTCTAATTTGTTAAACGCGTGCACTATCCGCCACCCTCCTGTGGCCTTTTGCACACAGAAGTTCGGAGAGCTGTGTGGGGATGTTGATTCCCTCAAATGACCAGCCGCTAAACGATCGGCAAATAATTTGTCGATCGCTGTGACCTGTTCACGAGGCAGTGGCCACTGCTTCATGACACAGCATTTCGAACCAAGTTTCATTTTGATCTCATGTCGAGTGCCCTTATCCTTAGGCAGCTCGCATGGCACGGATACAGGGAAAACATCCCTGAATTCGACCAAATCCTCATACAAAGGATTTGTCATTAAAGACTCCCAAGATTGAGATGTGTATCGCTCAATCCAAATATCATCATTGAGGACACCATTGTCCATAGATGAGCTACTGAGAACCCGTTCGTTCTCAGCAAACATTTGTGCTGACCGAAAATCGGCGACTTACTCGTCCTCTGTGACGAGTACGCAGATATGCTTGATCTTGTCACTACGCAGATCTCGCAAGAATCCTTTAGATTCTAGCGTTGGCAACTTGTCTACCTCCGAAGCTGACTTCGGGGGCTTAACCAGATCAAGTGTATAAGCGCCTACACTTGATTTGTCACTTATTAAGACATTCACTGTCTCGGTGATTTCCTGGGAAAACACATTCGCAGGTGGTTGGGGATCCACACCCTCAACATAACTCTCTCGGGAGTTATCACTTTCAGGAATGCTGGATGTTTCTTCCATTACGTGTTCTATCATGGTCACTTCCTCTTCGATCGACTCTCTTTCAGTCGATCATGCTTGCTTTACGATCATCTCTCTTATATTCAATCTCGCTTCAGCGTGTTGTTCATCCTGAACAACACTATCTCTCTTCTCGGATGCACCCTTCTTGGTGTGCATCCGTATTCCAGTCCACTCGATCTCTTCGGGTCGTGAACCTTCGGCGCAGACTGTGTCTCTACGCAGGTGCCGGAAGCTGGTTCCACAGTGTAGTGGCCTTCTACACTGTGATCTTGTGCAATCGTACTAATTACTGTACCATAAGTGAGGCCATCGCACTCACTCGTAGTACATCCACACGCTTGTGGAAGCTCCAAGACGTTCGTCAGATGGACATCCGATGAAAAAACGGCAGGCATCTTCACGGATCGATGCTGCCAGTCTACCCATGGCTGGTATTTTCTAAGGTATGGCAGACCGAGGATGACATCGAACATGTCATTTAAATCCAGTACGATGTAGTCATCATCGTTCTGCTTTCCTACGTGCTTCCTACGTGTAGTGGAAATCCACTGTTACGGATGCGCCCGTAGCAAGGCACACCGTCATTCTCGTTGGAGGGAACTCTCGCTCTACATAGTTGAGCCTACTATCCTCTAGCGACTGGCGTCGAATGAAACTGTTTGACACCCCACAGTCAACTAGGGCACGAAGTGACATTCCACCTGTCACTTCGATCTTCAAAGTAATGAGGGACTCCTCATCACTAGGGGCGGTAACACACAGCGACTGTGTGTTGGGAGCAATCTTCGTCAAGAGGCCTGCAGATTCTCTTGACATTGCTAGATCAGCAGGGTGCTCCGCCCCTATTGACGTTGTCCGTTTTTTAGCAATCCGACTTGCTGTCGCGGTTCAGCGACATGGTCGGACCCGCGGCTCGGACCATTCCTCGTCCAACGGTGGTCATCACGACCTATAATTGGACGTGATGTGGTGCGTAGGAAGCTACACTCATGAGCGTAGTGTCCAATCTTCTGACAGCGATAGAATCTTGCCGTTCGCTTGTGACTCAGAGAGCAACAGTTCTTGCTCTCGATGTAACAGAGGTCTATTGGTTCGGGACCTCCTGTTTCCTTTCGTCTCGTCGGACGATAGTTAGACGAGTTAGCCTGCGAATGTTTCAGGCTAACGTCTACTTGTTCCGCATACGCTATCCCCTTTTCCAACGTGTGGAAGTCCTCTCGGAACACGTAGGTCTTCACCGGACCATCTACAAAGTCGTAGATAAATACTTTATGAGAGTGTGATCATCAACAGCTTTTTCGTGACGCGACTCGCAAGGTAGCGTAGATGCTGTGCGTAATCATGCACATCACGCTTTCCTTGCTTGAGCCTCAGGAGTGCAGAGCGCGCTCTGTACTCGGCTCTCGGCGGCTCAAACGTCTCTTTGAGCCGATACTTTAAGATCTCCAAAGACTTAAAAATGTTTGGCTCGTGAAGCTTGAGCCCTGAGGCCCAAGTCTTTGCTCGTCTCGTCAATTTTGACAGGGCGGAGGAGACTCGCATCTCGTCATCCTCGATGAGACGGGCCCTTATGGCATCGTCTAACTCAACGAACCATCTCAAAAAGGAATTATTACAGTTCCTTTGTACCTTAAGTTATCTACCTTCAAGGTTTCGGGTCGACGCATGTGCATCGGCCCGCCTATCGACTGTTGAGAGCCTTGAGGTTGCAGCAAGGCTATTTTCTGTCTTTGGACGGCAAATTCACCTTGTAGGAATTAGTTGATAGCAGCATGTTGCTGGTCTCTGCTTAGATACTATAACATACCACTGATGGCGAATTCGCCCATGAGCACACTCATGCGACCGACTACCTCCCATTCTGAGTCACTCAGATAGGAGTAGCCTTCACGTGTGACGTGAAAGCTGTCGTCTTCTACGTCCAACATGTTCATGTTGGACGGACACTAAGTAGTCGTTGGACGGACTACGAAGTGCTACCAGGTGTAACGGGGCACCCTTTGTTTGGGGTGCAGCGAAAATTCACGTACACTAGTACGTGCAGAGGAAACTAGTTTACTCAAACAGCTAGTATGAGTAAAGGGTTAAAAGAGAACTG